CCCCCCCCCGCACTCTACCCCATCCTCTGTCTGGTCACACCTGCCTAACGTCAGCCAAAGTTAAAGGACCTGACGAATATGTCAGGATACAAACTGTTTTTGTACACCATGCAACCTCCTTGCAGTTTTTTTTTTTTTGGTAGACATTCACATTTAACTTCTGATTTTGATCTAACAAAACTCATAGATAGGTTACTTTTGATTGCAATGAGCATAGTAACAATATATTCCAATAATTCTTTGGCATTGGTTTAGCTATACACGTCTCGCAACTTTTCTTGCAACTTTTCCTAATTTTTCTTGCAACTTTTTGCAACTTTTGCTATTTTCAAATGCAACTTTCTCTGAGGACAGTTTAACATAAGTTAAGGACCATTTGCAAACACTCCGAGTGGTCTTCTTGGGTTGACCTGTATGTGGGCGTTACGGGACTGATCCAGTGGCTTGATGGCGCTGCCTCAGGCGTGCAATGACAGAGTTTGACACTGCAAGCCATTTGGCAACTTCTTGGAGTCCAACTTCATCCTGCAGCCACGCCATAGCTCTGGCACGACCAAAGACTCTCAGCTTTCGTCTCGGAGGCACGTTGAAGCCATATTAGATACTGGATTTTGCGCAAACAGCGGCTTATATTGCTACCAATGACTGTAAGTCCTTTTATGACGTGCACCAGAAATTTTAACTGAAGAATGTCCATGGTGTAGCACACAAGTCGATAAAAAACAGCAAATTTGGCTAAAATTCCCTGAGGATTTCAGTGCTGCATGTGGTGGTTTTGCCCCTTTAGGAAGCTTCGCAGTACGCATTGGTAACTTGGTAACCTATTAACGCTTTCAGAGCAAAAAATTTTGAAACATTCCTTGCTGTCTTTTCTTCCGATTTAAAAAAAAATAAATCAGGGCCGTCTGTAAAGGCGGTCCTTAGGTCCTGTAGGTACTTACACAAAGTATGATAAGCAGCAAACAACGATACCGTAGGACCTTGTCTAGTAATCACTTTAATACAATAATGTACCAGATGCGCAGGATATGTGCATCTCTCAAAAATCATAGAGAGATACATGTACATATATTCAACATACACACTCGTACAAACTCATCAATATATAGTGCTTAACACACTGTGATTACATGAACATGAAATAAGTAAAACTACAAAAGCTTCACTTGATCTGTTTCAGCATATGCGAAGCATCATGGTGAAATAAGTCGCTTGACAAAATAAAGAAATCCGAGAAATTCTCATACCGGTACTGTCCGTTTGGCAATTTTTATCAAAGTTTTGTTTTTTGACTAAACACCTGTGAAGTTCATTTAAAAACACATATTTGCGTGGACTTTACTGAAAAATGTTGATATATGGCACAAAAATGTAATTTTTAGTTTCTATGGACTCTCAAGCTTTGGAAGTGGCCAAACTTTGGCGGCCAATTTCTTGCTAACTTTACCTCTGAAACCAGTCGAGCCCAACCTCCTTCCATCGCAAATATCTCGACTTCTATTCATGATGGATGAGTATTTTTTTGTCACTGAAAGCAAGACAAATGAACAAGCTTTAGAAGGAAACCAATAACTTCACATGTCCAAAAATTGACGAGCGCTTGATTCCAACGCATGTGTCGTGACATATAAATCTAAAGCTGAAAGCTGATCCCATGCACGCTGTAGGCCTATCCCATCAAATGAAAATGATAGTGCCTGCAAGAGAAACTTTAAATCAAATTAAAATGGCACTGTAACCGAGACAAATTAAATAATAATAATAATAACAGATAGCATTTGTATAGCACAAATCCCCGCTCAACAGCAAGCTATAAGCGCTTCACAACCTACACTATTACCCCAGCTGACCTGAGAGCATTCTGTAACAACTTCAACTTCCTGGAAAGCACAATAGGCTTACTCATTGTCTTAAGGTGCGCTATGCCTTTTGGCCTGGAGGGAGAGGAAGCTAAAGATCTATATGCGACTAAGGCGGACCGGAGTGACTTCACACAAACCCGCTTGTTACACTTCCCTCACTGTGCCAGTCACTGTGCAGTTCTACTGTGAAGTAATTGTGCGATGATTACCTCTACATGTATTTTTACAGGAAGTATCACCCATGTCAAAAGTTTGCTGCCAAACCTCAGACAAATCTGACAATATCACAGGTACAAAATCCATTCAGCCACTGCATACTTGCAGCCTGGGGGTTAAAAAATCATTTCAACACAAGGATATTTCATTACGTTTGATTTTTATAAACATAGAGAAGAAAAAGGTTACTGGGACCCAAGAAATAGATCAACTTAACAGAGGATCAACTCAAAGAGCTTTAAAACAACTGGGGAGAATTGTAAAATCTCATTTTTCAGCAACCACACATGAAGTGAGAATGGATTCTATGAATACATAGATAGATTACATGTACACATAATCACGTAATTCTGAACATACATGGCTACTGACAGAAGTAACGGTGTAAATATCACATGACAAACAAGCGTAAGTCTTTTAACAGCAAAAGGAATATGAGAGAAAATAAAACAGGTTTGAAAACCTGTTATTCTAAATACACTAGGCTGTCCCCGTGGTTTTATGCACCCAGCATAATTTAGCAAAATTTGATCATGTTTCGCATAATTTCTGACTATTTTCCTTCATCATTCTTTGTTAAAATTAACAGAATCGCATAATTTCACATTTTTGGGCTCAGTTTGCATAATTTCATAATTTTTTTTTTGCATAACACCACGGGGACAGACTAGGAATCAAAATTCCTCAGGCATTAAAAAAACTACAACTATAAAAATTTTTAAAGTTAGTTTTAGTAAGGTTTTACCCCACTCGAAACTGCATAAGGGCATATGAGCGCCAGGGGGTGGATGTCAACAGAGAAGTCCAAACGAGGAGTCAGGCTAACTCTGCTCACCTCTCTAGCCTAAACAGCACAAAGTCTGCTTCGCTTATCAAGGCATCCCGGAAAGCGCAGTTCACAAGAGAGTGACAAACATACAAAAGAAGTAGAGGAAAAATGACGATAGTAAGGATGAGGAAAGAAAAAGAAGCAGTTTCTCCGATGTTGTTCCGGCACAGTATGAGTATGACATTGATAAATCAGCCCATTTACAATTCTACTGTGCATAGGAATGTGTTAATATCCCCCCTTTGGGAACGGCCTGGGGATACCTTAGTCAGTAGCAATGCCGGGGGGTGAGAATTTTGTTCTTGATATTAAGCCATTAAAAGTAACAAAAATTACAAAGGAAATTGATTTCTTGCTTCATGGTCAAGTACATTGGCAAAGGATCACATTAAATTTGGCAAAAACGTCACAAAACAAGAAATCATGAGAGTGAAATGGCTCTACATGTTCTTATGGGTTAAAACTTTAACTTTTTCTTCTTCTTGGCTTTGTCATGCTGCTTAGCCTCTTCCTGTTCCAACTTTCTCTCCAGAGCTTGACGACGCAGCAACTCCGAGTCCTGAGGAGGCAGAAGGAACAAGGTACAGCATTAGACCTCATACACTGAAATAAGGACGCTTCATGAAACAGGACTGAAACCAGTAAGCATATGGGTTTAACGCCTATATAGAATTTAATTAGGCAATTTAAGAGGCGGGACCTCCAAATTCAAAGTTCATGCCATAAAAGGGCATGAATTCAAGAAAGCCCAGTCTGGGATTTGAACCAGGGCCACCCGGACTGTAGTGCAGCATCACAACAACTGAGCTAATGGAGCGCCCCTAAAAACGGCCATCTTGAAAACCATATGGACATCAATCTTCAGATAGGTAAATAAGCAAAGTAACAACTTGATAAAACAACTTACAGTTTGGCATACAAGCTAAAGACTCTTACCATTACCAGGGTTCATACTGAGCAGAAGATTTTTTTCCCCAAGACTTTTCCAATAGCTTTCACGACCAGAATTCTTTTTTTCTAAGACAAATAACATGTCAATTTGGAAGAAAGTTTTTCGTTCAGCACGTACACTTTAGACTGTGCAAAGTCCAGGCCTTCTGAACTTCGAGGAAATATTTTTACAATAGATCTAGATAAAAATTTGTTTTTCCAAGACTTTTCCAAGACTTTCGCCAACTTACCAAAATACCAAGAGTATTCCACGTCTTGGAAAATAAAAACATTCCAAGAGTTTTCCAGTTTACCTAGACCCATACGAACCCAGCATTACACCCTAGACATTAGAACACTCAAAGATGAAATAAGCAAAAGTGGGATAAATGGGATTCTCACCTTGACTGGTGTAACATCGGTGCTGGAGGCTTTGGACGATGCTGGGCTGACCGGCGGTGACTTGCCCGGCGACGTTTTTGCCGGTGACACGTTCCGAGGGGCAATGGATGATGGCAGCCGACTAGCCCACGACTCCACGCTCGGAGCGCCGACTGACCTGGTTTCCCCACCCTCCATGGCCACACCGTTGTCCACATCATCATCTGAAACAGAAACTGCTACTTTGTTATCGGATCAAAGGAGTGCTAGAAGCTGGGCTTGCAGTTGGGCAGACTGATACAGAAAATAATCGGAACAATATATTATAGTCGAACCTACTTTAACAGCCATCTATTTAAGACAATCACCTGTACAAACTGCCACTTCCCATCTCCTCCCTTGCATATTTTATGCACTGTGCAGGATGGCCACATGTCTAATACGGGTGACCATTTCTGACTTTGACAGTTTCAACTTTATATATGTCAGTTGGATATACAAAATGATAAAACAGTCGAAATTGTCAAAGACGGTCACCCATTGTTGGGGAGAAAAGTGGTTACCTTAAACAGGTCGGCATTTAGGACAGCCAGTGTCATTATTCAGCGTTAAAGCAGGTTCTGTTGTATTTCTGTCAGTTCAAGAGATAAAAATATAACACTTGTTTTTATGCACCCCATACACAACAATCAGATTACCTCGCGGCAGACTCCTTCTACCTTGCCTCTCAGATCAAACCTTGGCGGAGAGTGATACAACGTCCCCATAGAAACAGAGAAATCTGATTTAAAAAGTCTTTCCCCACTTAGTAATCAAATGCATCCCTACTGAGAGTCAGTAGGTAGCGTAAACACAGCCTCGCGGGCACTCGCGGCCTTCAGACCGCGTGGTATCGGTAAAATCGGGGTAATTCCGATCGCTGTTTCTTTGCTCTTTCGCTATAAAACACCAAATGCCGTACACCTTGTAAAAGTTCAGCTTTTCCTCGTTACAATGGTGTAAGTTGTTTATATGTCCGATTATTAGGAGCTGGAGAATCGCCGACGAAAGCGAAGCCCCTCGCGGTCGGAATGCGAGGTCGGCCGGTTGAAAAATTGACACGCGTGCATTCAAATGCTTCGCGGAAAGAGGGATGATTAAATACCGTCTTTTCATTGGCGGAGAACTGTAGAGCTTTAAACGGGCTTTCCCGTGATATAAGTTTAGCCTTTGGCGTCTTTATAGAAAGCTTTTAAAAATACCGTCAAAATGTTTAAAGTATCCCTTTTTACACAAAATATGTATAATACCGACTTATAACAGATGTCAATTAATAAAAGATCAGTTCATTTTCTATTAGAATAAAGTTATTAACTTGGAATTATTTTTCATCAATCCTTCCGCGAGACTCGGAAAGCATGTGACCCCGCACGCCGGGTACACTACAGTATAGAGCCGACTCGCTCGCCGCGGGGGCCGGTGCGCCGCCGCCGGGTCAACGCTCGGTGTTTTTGTCGAAATAACGACAGAGCATCGTGTTTGAGGCAATAAAATACTGATTTGTAAAGATCTCACTGTCTTGAAAAAAATTAGGCTCCCTATATTTGTTATAGTGATTGTACTCTGTTAATGTGGAGATGTTTAGTGCACTTGGTACTTTTTTTTATTGTCTGTCAAACATGGGGTTGCAGCCAGTGACTGACTTGAACAAATTTGATCAAATTTTAAACAACTACAATTTTCTTAAAAATTGACGGAGAGGTTAAAGAATGGTACCAAAATGCTCAGTGGATATAGGCCTTTCAAGTGGAACTGATAAATTTGGCATACAGCTACTTTGAAAATTTAGTTTCTGGTACCTAGAGTCAGGCAAAAAGCCTAACATTCACAACACAGTTCATAGGTCACTGTAGTTAATACACATCTCCATGGAAACTCTGATCTTCACAACTGAATCATTCTGCAATAGCTCAACAATCCCCTTAACACATTACACCCTAACTCGCCCGGGATCGCCCGGGAATTCCCTTACGCGCTCCACCCTGACTCGCCCGGAACCGCCCGCGCCGACCCAGCGTCTTTAGAAACGAAAGTCTCGCCTTGACGAGACTCTGGGGCCGGGATTTTGATTTGCATAGTATAGCAAAAAGTTTCTTCTTTCGTTTGATACCGAAACGAAATTTTTCCGGCTAGTAGTTTTAGTATTAGAGCTGATCGAAGTGCGATCGCGTTACCGACACTACGAAAGTGCCTCAACTTGTTGAAAAGCGACACAATTGAGTTCGAAAACGGAAATAACGATGGATTTGAGCAAAAACGAGCATGTGACAAATCAGATGGCTCAGATTTTGATGAAAACGTTGTAGGAAGAGTTTGGGGCGATTCCGATTGATCAGACGGAGAAATAGAATTTAGATCTAGGGCCCGACCGCGAGAGTGAGAGTGACGGGTCGGACACCCCGATTGAACTAAAGTGAGAACATTTCCAACAGTTTGCGCATACATAAAGTTATATTTTTCTGAAACTACATTCAGTTTTCTTTTTAACTTTTATTTTTTCAGGATTTTTGGAATTTGTTTAGTATTTTTAAAATGTGTTTTTTAAAGGCTTGTATTCAAGGGAGGTGGGTTCTTTCCCCTTGCTTAGGATCTAACAATGGACTTCCCGTCCAGGCCCTTAGGGTGTAATGTGTTAAGAAAATTCTACCAAATTGTTTGTGAAAGGTGCAATGAAAATTCCGAGCTAACATAGTATCTAAATTTGTAACCTTATGTTTTACCTTGAGGGTCTGATCCACTGTTGAGCCAAGCCTGCTTTGTGGCTATTTCCCGGTACAGTTCTTGCCCCAACGATGTGAAGGCTTGGCTGCCCGATGCCTTGACTTCGTTCTCAAAACCCTGCAGAAATAGTACACGACTTTGTTTGCTCGGTAGATAGATTCAGACAGTTAGTACAACTTCACCTCATGGATGATTGAAAGATGAATGCATTGAAAAGAACCTCCCCTAAGGAGAAGGACAAAAGGGAAGGAGAAAAAAAAAAGAAGTCAAACCCAACAGATGTCAACTTTAGAATCTGGGACCTTACGTCTCAAGACTGACAGACAATTGAAGAGGGAAGTCCTTCATGTACCAATCAATAAAGATAGAATTATGCTACAACCCCCCCACACCCTTCCAGAGAACATTAGGAGTTGTTGAAATCACATACAAGAGACATAATTTTTCATATATAAGAAAGAAAAAGGTAGAACCATCAAAAATTGTATTAATTTGGAAGGTGGAATCCTTCATTGTATCATAAGTCTGGAGGATGAAAGAGAGAAACACAGTGAAATGAAAGTGTCTGACTGCATTTCAAAACAACCACTTCTCAAGGAGATTAAAAAAAAAGAAAAAAAAGCATAATCTGAATGATAATCTTATATTAATCTAATTAGCACAAACATTGTCAAGACATAATCTCATGTATAAATAAGTGATGCACATACTTTTGAAGTAACAACCTTTCATAATAATAAAAAAATAGAGCACCATAAACTTTCAAAAACAAAATGTGAGGCAACGTGGTGGAATCAGGCTCTCGTCAATTTTTGGGCATGTAGAGTTATTGGTATCATCTTAAAGCTTGTTCAATTGTTTTTATTTGGATTAAAAAATGTCCGTTCACCTTGAATACGAGTCGAAATATTTGCAAATGAAGGAGGTGGGGGTCAGTTGTTTTCAGAGGTAAAATTAGTGAGAAAATGGCCACCAAAGATTAGTTATTCCCTTAGCTTAAGAGTCCGTGGTAACTGAAAATTTACTTTTTTTTGTGCTTTTAATCAACGTATTTCGGAAAAATCCACACAGAAATGAGTTCTTTAATGGGCATGAAAGGTGTTAAGCCAAAAAACAAACATTTTATAAAAATTCATTACGAGAGCCTGATTCCACCACGCTGCCTCACAAATGTTAATAAAAGGAGGAGAAAAAGGAAGATTCTTCAACAGAAATCATCGACATAACAATATGACTTACTTTTGATGTCACCATACTGTTTCGAAATACCAGCACATCAAAAGGGGTTGTCTCAATATGCTCTGCACAAAAAAAAAAAAAAGTCATTGGATTAATCCAGCAAAACTCAGCCACAAACAAGAGCTCATTTTTCCATTAAAAAAAGTATGTAGTATGTCCACTTTAATGATCAATTTTTGTTTGTTTTAGTAGGTGTTTTACGACACTCGCAACACAATAAGGCCATGTAAGTGCCGAAGATTAGAGGTGTTACAAACACAAAAAAGGAGTGGAGATAAAGATGATAGATGTTTGATAGGAAAGAAGACGAAAACAAAACCAGAGTATCTGCCAACCACCCACTTGATCAATTTTACTATGTAAAATGTAGACAAAGTATCATCCACTAACACTGATTGGCACTATAAGGTAACAGAAGCCGAAATATCTACAGATTGAAGGAGAACAAATACAATGCCAACCAGTCTCAGAAGAAGGAAAGGATTTTTTTCGGCAACGGTTCGAAATACTTGTCCTGACTCTGAGAGGTTCACCCGTTACTGTTCTTCTCGATTACTTCTTTAAAATTACCAAACCACAGCTGCACTGAGAATGTTTGAAAAAGCTGTTTCTAGTGCAGATAGAAACCAGTGACATCGACAGCATGACTAAAACAGCTAGAGTGTGAGGCAGAAAGAAGCAGATCTACATGATAAATCTTTCAGTGCTGATGAAATGCAATACAAACAGGGAGGGTAAAGAAGTAGCACCACCTACCACGAGCACCCTCCAACCACCAGTACAACAAAACAAACTTAAAATTAAATAAACACCTAGTAGAAACTTACGTCAACTTGGTACTCAAGAAAATTATGGAAAAATAAATAAGAAATAAGCTCTTAACATCAACACGTTTTGAAGATTTTTCAATGATATGACTGATTTTGATGTTCAGAGCTAATCTAAGACAAGGTTACGCATAAACGACTCTACTTCAATATAGGACTCAACATAAATGAGCTGGCCAAGTCATAAGAATGTCAGATTTTTTAATCCCAAAGGCATAATTCTATTCTGAACTGTCCTCTTGGAAGCGAAAGATTGGCATACCAAAAAAGTGCTACAAAGACGCCCTGAAAGTGTCTCTGGAAAGACTTCAATATAAATACTTTGACAAGGGAGAGCCTAGCTCCTGACAGACCCAGCTGCAGACCAGCAGTCACAATGGACAGCACATCATACGAGGCTTCCCCAATAAGAAAAACTGAAGCGAAAAGAGAAGCCTGCAAGCTGGGCACATCCACAAGTGGTAGTGGTCCTTTTAAATGTTCAAAATGTGGCAATCTTCTCTCTGTCAGAATTGGTCTCACTGGCCACAGTAGAAGCCACAAGTCATCTTAACCTTTAATTCTTTTAATTCTAATTCTTTTATTTACTGGAGAAATATTCTCCTCTGTGGATGTATTGGTCACAGGCAGACATTCATGAATGAGTTATTATTATTATTATTTCACTTCCCTATGGAGCAGGTTCCGACATGTCAAAATTGACACAGATAAAAAAAGGAGAGGAGCAGGTTCCGACATGTCAAAATTGACCCAGATAAAAAAAGGTAGAGGAGCAGACTGTACTTAAATGTCCACCGATCACAAGTGACAGGACTAGGAAACAAGTCCTTGACACTGACAGGAAGTAAGACAAAAAGGAAGCAGCCCCAACTTACTCCTTGTGGCCTTCACCCCTTGAGACTTGTAGTCATCAATTTCTTTATCTTTCGTTGCCAAAATCTTGAAGAGCTCTTGTTGTTGTCGATATAGTTCCCCGACCATTGCCATGAGTGGGAGAGCCAAATGCTTTTTACCCTGCAAATATAAAAAAGGAAACACTAAACAGCCTTAATTTTCCATTATAATGGAAACTGGAAACTATTACCGTTCACATTAATGCAAGGCTTGTTCTCAGAAGGACCCCTGTCAGTACCAAATTTAAAATATGGATACAATTGAACATGTCTAAGATGAACATTCATTGTCCAGGAGAAAAGTGGCAATTTTAGACTGGTTGTCTTCTTGGACAGTGTAATTATAAAAAAGAAAAAACTCAAGCAGGGAAACAAGTGATTGTCTCGGACAGGTGGCCAGTTGTGCAGGTTTTTGGGGGTCCACTTATAGAGATTAACTTAGAGGTCTAAAGGCCTCCATCTGTCAAGAAAAAAACCCCAAACTTTTTTTTTAGAAACTGAAAGTGTAGACCACACCAAACAAGAACTAGATCTGTTAAAGAAATTTGTAATTTTAAGTAATCACCATTTTTCAAGATCTGCTTCATTCTGTCTCCTCACACAATATAAAATGTCAAAAAACCTTCATTCTGATGCCCCTATGGTAACCAGTTTGACTGCAGATACAATCTTCATGTCTTCACATCAGCTGTTAAAGATACACATTTCATTTGAAAAAGTCAGTAGATTCAAGGGAAATAATAAAAAAAACAAATGATTCCTGAGTTGAGTGATCTTGTAATATCCTTTTAACTTGAAAGAAGTTTGGCAATGCTGGTTGATTTCAATTACAATATCATCACTAACCATGTCTTCTTCATTTAGGACAGTATGGAAAACAAAAGAGAAAGGCATGCCAGCCAACTGCGAAGTCATTTTGATGTTGACACTGTCATCTTTGTGTGTCAGGGTCAGCTTGCTCTCCTTGCTTTCTGCTCCAAGGTTTGTTTCAACGTGGGAAAGGATTTTGGTCAGAGGAGCCTCGATACTGGGGTTCAGTTTCTGAGGGAAAAAGATAAGGTATAAAGCGAATTTGAAAAAAGACATCAGATGTAAAAAGTGGCAATATCAGTAATGAGCAGTACCCAACACATCCTTTTACCTTTAACCATCTGTGTAAGGTAGTTTAAAATAATGTTATTCAGCGTGAATCAATTTTACTCACATGAAAACCAAAACAGAACAAGTGTGAATACTTTATAATATGTGAGGCAGCCTGGTGGAATCAGGCTCTCATCAATTTTTGGGCATATTGAGTTATTGGTATCATCTTAAATCTTGTTCATTTGTCTTGCTTTCAATGAAAAAATTACCCGTCCATCTTCAATAGAAGTGGAGATATTTTAGATTGAAGGAGGTGGGGGTCACCTGATTTAAGAGGTAAAATTAGCGAGAAAATGGCCGCCAAACCTTGGTAAATTCCAAAGCTGGAGAGTCCATGAAAACTGTAAATTTATTTTTTGTGCCTTTAATCAACGTTTTCGGTGAAATCCTCAAAGGAATGTGTTTGTAAATGGACATAAAAGGTGTTGAGCCAAAAAACAAAAATTTGATTACAATTTGTAAGCAGGGAGAAAACTGCTGTTTTCTTCGATTTCATTATTTTGACGAGAGCCTGATTCCACCATGCTGCCTCACATATCTGAAGCAGATAGAAATCTTGATGTCACTTTTTTATGCCCCCCACTGACACAATTTATTTATAATATAATCATTTACGATGCAGAATTTAAGCCTGCCTGTCAGGGCCAACCTTGGCAGAGAGGGATATAGCATCCCAATGCCCAATGGAAAGACAGAGATAGTTAATAAAAATTTTCCACATCTGGGAGTCAAATTCAGGTCTTCTGCACCTTTGCACCACATCACGGACACCGTTTTGAAGTTACTGAAAAGGCATGATAATACTACATAATACATCCAACAATACAGCGATTATCTATTTATGCATGACAGAGTAACACAACAGACCAGAAAATTTTTCTTTAACTCGTTTGGTGTGATCAAACATTCAGGAATGATCATGTTCTAAAACATTAACTCTAAGTCTACTTTATATAACTATTTCTTCCCAAAACGACAAATGATAGTCCCTTCCGGCTGATGTGATACACACAGAGGTAAAAAAAGGATTTTTCCATGATAAACACAGCTATGAAAATGAACAAAATGTCATACAAGGCTTCAAATTGAAGCTGATCCCCTTTTTGCAATTCCTTTTTTCATTGAATGTTTTTTTTACTGGTTTAGTTGAAGGTCTACCACGCTACAGTGGTCTATCATAAGTTCCATCGGATCAACCTGTCACTTAGTTGTTAAACAGGTCCAATGAGTAGACAAGAAACATCATACAGTATAGACCTTAAAAGTCTAAATAAGTTGGCAGATCGGTCCAGCGGTAGGCTAGACCTAAGACCGGCATTCACTTACTTTAACCAGCAACAACGTGGTAGACATTAGCTAGAAAAAAATAATTGAGGAGCGTCTGGTTAACTTTGCCAAAACACACATACATATATAATCAGAGTGTCTACGTACACGGTAACTGGGCACCTAGCCTCAGTGTGTACGTACAAGGTAACCGGGCATGTAGCCTCAATATCTACGTACACAGTAACCGGCAACCAGGCATGTAGTCTCAGTGTCACGTACAGGGTAACCGGGCAGTTCAGAACTCCAAGTTCAGTTCTCGTCATCCGGTGTTGCCTTCATCCCCACCACTCCCCCGACTGTACCTTAAAAAAAAAAAAAAAATAATCCCCCCATTCCGGAGCCCTATACTTCGCTGTGCACAGACTTTGAATGAACTTTGGTGACCCCAACCGGTACTCACAATGCGATGCACACACGCAGGTTCAGTGACTGGTCACGATGGCGAGCCCCACAAGACTTTCTTTTTTTTTCAGCAAGTGACAGCATAGCACAAATATTGATTTATTTTCATTCTGGTTACCATGTACGTAGATACTGAGAGCAGGTGCTCGGTTACCGTGTACGTAGACACTCCAATATAAATATAAATAGGGAGATGTAGTCCCGGCCTTACTCCATAGAAATTTTCATTCGGAAACAAAAACGGAAGTCGTGTAAAACTTAACTAAATTTGTGACAGCCTTTAGGGCCAAAATTGTTCTCAACACACTAAAAAAGGTAACAATATTGTTGAAAAATAGTCTAAAATGGGTTAGGACCTTTGTTTAAATTTACCAGCGGTCTTTTCACCCTGGCAACTCGGTCAGCATTTTTACTCCGAAGTGTATACAGTCCCAGTAACAGGGAACAAAGTCACAAAGTATACATACCCGGTAGGGGAAATCTTTTGTGATGTAGGAAAGTTTCAGCGCCCAGACCCGGTAGTGTGTGTGTATGTGCATGTGTGTGTGTGTGAGAGAGAGAGAGAGACAGAGTGGGGGGGAGGGGAAAGAGATAGAGAGAGACAGAGAAATAGAGAGAGGGTGACTGCTCGATTGAAATTTTTGTTAGGCCTATAACATTGTTCTTTTCTTCAAATTGTCTCATTGATTCCTCCAACTCCAAAATGGAGAAAAAACTATCGTTCATCGAAAACACAACGACAATCTTCATTGGCCTCAAAACCAGATCTCTATGATTTGTTTCTTTTTAGTTTTAGTAAGAGTTTTACGGCACTTGCAAAACAAGGTCATGATATAAGTCCAGAAGAACAGATGTGTTACAAGAGAGTAACATACACAAAAAAGAAGGAAAGGAGGAGCAAACCACACTAGAACACCTGCCAACCACCCACTATGTCTGTATGTCCAGATCTAGACCTAGGCCATAGATCTAGTAAGAACCTAGGTCTACCCTGAGCAAAGCAAAGAGGGTGCTGAAACTTTCCAACATGACAAAAGATTATAAATCCCTACCGGGTCTGTATACTTCGTGACTTTGTTCCCAGTTACCGAGTCTGTATGTAACTCCCTTTTAAACCCGGCTTCCGTTTCTCTTTCTTATAAATCTCTTGTCCTGTGTCTGTGTTGAGATCATGCGAATTTTATCAGCAACCGATAGTAAACGTCGGATGTTCTGGACAGGCCGCCGGGGTCTCTCAATGTGTACTGTTGGTGTACAGCACACGCGCGCCAGGAAACATGTATTTTCGCCATGAATACCGTGGAAGTGTGTTAATTGATGATGAAAATAATGCTCTATCTTTCATAGCTTTCTATTTATAAAGTGTTACAAACACATGAATAACCCCTTCTCATATAAGCTGGAGACATTACGAGAAGTTACGCCCTTTCTAGATGCTCTTCCTTGTTGTTATGAATGACCTGGGGTTCGAAAGGGGATAAGAGGTCAATTTCAGAAAGTTTTGCACTTAAATTGTTCTTGGTATCTGCACAATGGTATTCTCAAAATTATCGAACAAGCTTATTTTTTATCAGGTAGTATCATTTCATACAAAATCAAACTCATTTGAAAGATTTTGCATGGAACTCTTGTTTCCTGACTATCCTTTCCAGCTCCTCATGTTCTAAGTGGATCAATTTGTTCTATAATTTCATTGGACGAACATCTAGAACTACCAACTTGGCGTGTTTTGAATGAGACGTATGCCTTGGTTACGAACCAACGCAAGCGGTTCTAGAAGAAGGCCACAAATGCACAAAAACTCAAGCAGACTGACAAACTCACTTAAACTGCGTGAATGCGGATCCGACTCGAGACCCGAATTGAACGGGAGATGATGCTCAGTGCGCGTGCGCTGAGCCAGGGGCCAGAACGTAGGAGAGGTGCTGAAGTAGGCTTATCAGGCGACATAAACCCGCCTCTGCAGGACGAGGACACTCTTTTCTTTAAAGCATCTACCGGAAGTTGTGTTCAAGCGCCTAGCAGGCTGCTGAAACAGCTCTATGCATTTTTTCGCCATTTCTCAAGATTATGAATTGTGTTTTCTAGGAATTTAATATCATGTGAGGGCCCTTGATTTGCTTCATCTAGTGGTGTAAAAATAGTACTTATAAAGACAAGATCTAGTCTAATATTAGCCATGGAACTTGTAATTCTTACCCTGGCCCTATTGAACTATTTTGGCCATGTTTACAGTTTTGTAGTGAACTCTAGATCATACCACCATGTTCGGGTTTTCCCTGTGTTACACCCTTGCGCACTGAATCAGACAAGGAAAACAACTAAGTACACAAAAGATCAGCTGTTAAACGTAAACAATCCAAGTCTGAGTGTACCATCAAATGTGCTTACTAGTTTGGCCCAGTTAGGAGTTAGAAACAGCTGTGTTTGTCAATCAAAGGTAGTAAAGAGTGACAAGAGGGGTACGAGAGGTGGGACAAGGAAACAGAGAAAAATTATGGTGTGTCAGGGGATTCCTCGTGACACTGTTTCTAAGAATAGAACTACGACTACTGTGAACAAGAAAAACTTAATACAGATAGACACTCGTAATGTATTTCAACATAACTGTCCCAACTTAAGAATTGGCTGTATTAACACCCAGTCGTGCTGCAACAAAACAAACATTGTAAGAGACGTAATTGAAGAAATGAACATCGACTTGTTGTGCATCACAGAAACTTGGCTTCGAACAGAAGGCGATGAATCTATCATAGCCGACCTTCTACCACCCGGCTTTGAACTTAAATCTTTTTCACGCGGATCACGTGGTGGCGGAATTGCTTTTATTCATCGGCGAGGTTTACCAGTAAAGTTCATCTGCGGTGGTCCATCGTATCGCACATTTGAATCAGCCACTGCTTTCATCAGATCAGAGCAACTTACCTTCCGTGTGACATGTATCTATCGACCGCCACCTAACAAGAAAAATAAATTTACAAGTAAAGAATTCTTCATAGAATTCCAAGATCTACTCTTTCAACTAGAGCAAGCTGCCTCCCCCTTTTACATCATAGGGGATTTCAACTTTCACTTTGATGTTCCATCTGTACCAGACACCAAACGCCTTGTTTCAATTCTTGATGATCATAATCTACAGCAGCTAATCAAAGAGCCGACACATCGTAGTGGTCACATTTTGGACCTGCTAATTACCAACACTGCTGACCAACATGTTTTTAAACATCAGGTTTTAGATAAGGCTATCTCTGACCATTCTCTTCTGATAGCTAACATTAACATCTCCAAACCAAAACACGTAAGAAGAAGCATACTTTCAAGGAACACGAGAACAATAGACACACAGGCACTTCGGGACGACGTGAGCAAAACACTGACAAGTCTATCCTCCCTAGATGCAGACACATTTCATGACACTCTCAAAGCGGCAATCGACCAACATGCGCCAATGGTAAAAAGAAACATTTCATCGAGACCCTTTTCTCCTTGGTTTTCACTTGAAATCAAAGAGGCCAAGAAACATCGACGTCAGGCAGAACGCAGGTGGAGGAAATCAAAACTTCAAGTTCACAGAGACATCTTTATTAACCACCGAGACAAAGTCAACTCAATCATCGAAAATAACAAGAAAAAATACTATCTACATGAATTACAAGATGTTAAATCACCCAAACAACTCGTTCAGACTACCAATGCTATTCTGGGAAAAGAAACAATATCTCCTCTCCCCTCTGCAACATCAGATGACGAACTTTGTAGTTTATTTGTGACTTTTTTCAATGACAAAATTAATACCATACGCTCTTCTCTCGACCTAGAGCCAAATGGAAATTTGGAATTTTCAGAATTTACTGGACAAATATTAGATTCTTTTAGTCCAGTTACAAATAGTGATATTTTAAATTGTATTAATGGGTCAACCATAAAAACATGCGACCTTGACCCAATGCCTGCTCATGTATTCAAAACCTGTATTGATATTGTCCTACCTCACATTACTCAGATAGTGAATATGTCACTTGCCACTGGCACAGTACCTAATACTTTCAAACAAGCTATTGTAAAACCTTTATTGAAAAAACCCGGGCTTGATAAAAATGAATTTAAAAACTATCGACCAGTTTCGAATTTGCAATTTGTCTCAAAAATTCTAGAGAAGATTGTTTTAAGTCAAGTTTTGTCTCACATGAGAAAAAATGGTCTTGAGGAAATTTACCAATCTGCCTATAAAACTCATCATAGTACCGAAACTGCGCTTTTAAAAGTAACGTCTGATTTATTGGATTCCATTGATAGCAAAAACATCTGTCTTTTAACTCTTTTGGATCTGTCCGCAGCTTTTGACACAATTGACCATGCTATTCTACTCACAAGACTTGAGCGCTCATTTGGCTTATCGGGTACTGTGCTTTCATGGTTTAAGTCATATTTACTAGAAAGAGTTCAGTCAGTGCAAATTAAAAATAGCTTTTCAAAGCAGGTCAGGCTCGATTATGGAGTTCCACAGGGGTCCGTTCTTGGACCAGTGCTCTTTACACTATATACACAGCCCTTAGCAAGCATTTTACAAAATCATGGATTGAATTATCATTTTTATGCCGATGATTCCCAAATGTATGTTAATGGCACCATTCAAGATCTACCAAACATGATTTCCATCACTAAACAATGTTTTTATGAAATCAAAAAGTGGATGACAGTAAACAAATTGAAACTAAATGAAGAAAAGACAGACATCATTCTTATAAAAAATCCACGATTAAATAAAGATCTGGAAAGTGTCAACTTTGATTTATATGGGCATATGACATCTAGTAAAGAAGTTGTCAGGAATCTCGGTGTATATATTGACCACCACTTATCAATGGGCTCGTTTGTAGGATCTCTGTCCAAATCCCTTTATTTTCAGCTGAGAAGGATAGGCCTAGTTCGAAAGTACTTAAGCGAAGAGACCACAAAAACACTGGTAACATCTCTTATCCTATCTAGATTAGACTATTGTAACTCACTCCTGGCAGGTCTGAACAACAAATATTTGAATCGTTTACAAGTAATTCAAAACAATGCCGCTAGACTGATAACAAGATCTAAAAAACGAGACCATGTCACTCCATTATTAAAAGAACTGCATTGGCTCCCTGTAAAAGAACGAATAATATTTAAAATCTGCGTCATGTGTTTCAAATGTGTAAATAAAACTGCTCCTTTTTATCTACAAGAACTTATCAGTATATATAAACCAGGGAGAAACCTAAGATCATCGAACGATAACACCCTACTTGTGACACCTGTAAAATCATACAAATCATATGGAGAGAGATCTTTCTCATATCTTGGTCCATTTATGTGGAACAGATTACCCATGAAACTAAGACAAATAAGAACACTTGATAGCTTCAAAAGACATCTTAAACATTTTCTGTTCCTACAGGCCTATCCTTCATAAGCTTTTAACGTTATCTTTCATTACATTTGTTCTTTTCCTATGTCTGGATGAAAATAGTCTGTGTGTGTGTGTGTGTGTGTGTGTGTGTGTGTGTGTGTGTGTGTGTGTGTGCATTAATGTATATTGCTTGAGAAGAAAGGAAGTAGTAAGAAAGGTTTTTGAAAAATGGGTATTCCAATGTAAAGCGCATTGAGCTACTTTTTTTGGAAATGCGCTCTATAAATGTTATATATTATTATTATTATTATTATTTACACCTAATGATTTTGAGGGGAGGACTTCCGTAACGAGCGACCACTAAGAGACAGAGCAGAATTGAGGGCTTGGGGTAAGGGTAGGGGTAGGGTTAGGTCTAGGCCTCTTCTTTATTGTGTTTGATGGGGTGGTCGCTCGTTACGGAAGTCCTTCCATTTTGAGTAAAAATTTCTATGTCTAGAGTCTATAGTATAGTCTAGTCACTATAGTCTATGGGTTAGGCCGGGACTACTAGGACACTAGGATATCTCTGCACCTCCCACAATAGCAGCAAATTAAAAAAAACACTTACTGACACTCTTTTCTTTAAAGCATCACCGGATAATTTCTCGTACCAAAAACTGGTCAAGTCCGTGACAATAACTTCGTAGGAACTGTTGTCAAATTTTGCCTTGATTAAATACTTATTGCCGTCATCAGACGGTACATCTAAAGGACGCCAGGAGCATGCACATAGATCTGGTTTCCACCGCCGCCTCCAATTAAGTTCTGCCATATTCAATGCCTTCCTGGGGCGTGAATATCAAAAATCAAAGTCAATATAATGTAAATCTTGAATTAAGTCTACAGGCTAAGTTGAATGTTGTTTTGAAGGCTTGGGGAACTTTCGATATTTCGCCGGAAGTTTATACTCCTTTCTTGTAAATGTAAAAGCTAAATCACAATTCTAAGAAAACAAATTTGTCTGTACATAGCGAATTATTGACATTAACAGCTGTTAAAGGATAAAAACTATCTGAGTACATGTTGCATGCATGTAACTATAATTTTCAGCAGAGTTTATTCTGAGTACACCTTTCCACAGTCAATGTTTGATGGAAAATCGAAATAGGATAAGATATGAGGTATACGAAACCACGGCCATAGGGACGTTTCCACATGGCAGCAGTTTGTAAACAACATGGCGTCCCATTCCTGCCCTAACGGTAAAAAGGTAAAGCGAAGTACCTGAAACGCGTCGTTGTTTTGTAGCACATGTATTTGATTAACACCCATAACTTAGTTCAACTTAACGATCTTGGTCCCGTCTGTTTAGACTTGGCATCATCCTCACAGAGTGCTAGATACCGATAATGATTTAAATATTCGGTATCAATGTTCTATCAGTAGTAGATCTAGGTCTAGATCTAGTAGTCAGTAGATGAGACTAGCCTACAAAAGTGTCAAAAGGAGCAGTAAAATTCACTTGTTTTTAACAAGGCAAGGGGGGTTTTGGGGGGGGGGGCATGCCCCCCCAGAATTTGACCATAATTTGATGTTTTGCAATCTAGGTTTGATAGGCTATCTCTCCCATATTGGCAGGCGCATCAAAAAGTAATCGGTTTAGAATCACAATAAGTAATCGTCAGTGGGGGTCAAAACTAGTACCCCAAACGGTACCCAGATTCTTAAGTAGTACCCATTACTTCATGAGATCAGGGTTAAAATGATAGCAATAGCTGAGCTTGTCAATTAAAAACCTATTTACTCTACCTTCTTATTTTATCTATTGAGTTACCTCCTTGGACGATCGTCGTGTCGTTCATGGTTCGCAGGCCAGTAGAGCCTATAGATGATGATCAAACGTTTTCAATTTTGACTGAATTGGTATTAGCCTTTAGACCTCATTGATCCTATTGTGTAACTTTGAATAGACCTGCATGTTTGCCGACAATCGTCTGAAATCCGACAATCGCGACCCGACCCGCGAACCGGCGGATGCTATCGCTAGGCCCACCTGGATCAGTCAATGTGCGTAGTGCGAGGCTTGGCCGACTGCCAGCGACCCCCTTTTCTCCCGTCGGCTTCGTCGGCATTTTCGTTCTCGTGCCGACCGCCGACGCGCGCACCGCCGACTGCCGACGTCGGCGTTTCCGACATAATTGTCGGAACCTAAGTAGAAATGCGAATATGAAAAAAGGACCACAACTTAAATTATCTACTTTCAGTTTCGTGCTCGAGCGGCCATTTTGAATTTCGTTTGTTGACTAATTCAATTGTTCAGATCATGTGGATTAATTCAAGTCCGACTCCCTTGTTCTAATAGAATCTAGATCTAAATCTAGATTTATATAGATCATTATAGACCTCAATGGAGGATTCATATTCCAATTCTATTGTGTCAAACCCTATCATAGGTTGTGCTGTAATATTTATATTGGTAAAAATAAGCATTTCATCAGGTGCGTGAATTATTTATTTATTTAGATTCTAGTAAAGATCTAGATCTAGAATCTAGACTCAGCTGAGTCCCTCTCTTCGGAATCGGATGCGAATTTCTAGTTCAAGGCCTATTCCTATTCACTTGTTCTACAAGATCTAGATCTAGATTTATTTAGATTACTAGATCTATATATGAAGGATTCACATTCCAATTCTATTGTGTTATATTGTATCAAACCCTATAGTCCTATAGCAATGAAGATGTAAGCCATATATAGATCTAGAATCTAGATCTATATGCTCCTTGTTTGTTTTGGAGTGTGGTTTTTTAATTAATTTTTTTTTTCATTTAGGACTTGTTTTGTCCTTTTTACATGAGGCCCATTGCAGGTTCTTTTTGGGGGTAGGGTTAGGGTTAGGTCTCTTCTTTATTGTGTTTGTTGGGGTGGTCGCTCGTTACTCGGATGTCCTTCCTTATGACACCCACAAAGGCTTTTTTTTTTTGGGGGGGGGGGGGGGGGGGTTGCGCAAAATTTTCAGACAATTTGGTTCAGGCTCACATGCAGGTCTACTTTGAAGGCTTCATTGTTTTTAGGACTGTGACTGGTTGTGCAAAAACATTCGGTATTATATATATACCTAACACTTCATAAATATAACAATAGGCCTCATGTATCCATTGTCATTGCTACTGTACTATGAGAGGGAAATAATAAAACTGGTTGAACCATTTCTGAGTGAGGCCCAAATGGGATTTAGAAAGGGAAGAGGATGCACCAACGCAATGTTTGCCCTACGGCAAATGTGCCAAAGGGTAAAAGAACACAACAGGGAACTAAATATAGTGTCTGTCGACCAGGAGAAAGCGTTCGACAGAGTGAACAGAAACAAGCTGGAAAGAACTGGAAAACTTCCCTGTAAGAGGCCAACTTCTAGATGAAATCCGTGCCACTTACGAGAACAGCATAAGTACAATAAGAGCATCGGAGGGACTCACAGAATGGTTCGAGATAACATCCAGAGTAAGACAAGGTTGTGTCCTATCACCACTACTATTTACCATATATATGGATAGAATTACTAAAGAGGCCAACACAGAACGAGACACCCTGAATGAATTACTCTTCGCTGATGACCAAAGCCTGGCACACAAAGATGAATGAAGTCTCCAACACCACACCACCAGATTAAACGAAGAATGTAACATATGACATGAAAATCAACATGAACGAAGCAGAGACAATGAAAGTAAGCAGAAAGCCAGGGCCACTCAGGATACACATCAACAACAACAGTCTCAGACAGGTCCAAGAATTTAAATCAAAAGTATATTCACAGAGGATGGGCGACTGAACAGAGAAGTTGAAACACGAGTACAAAAGGCTAATAATGTTAGTTACCAGCTTACTCCTCTACTTAAACATCCTAACGTCCCCATGACGACAAAACTCAAAATGATCAACACCCTATTCATCCCAACACTCACCCATCAATGCCAAACATGGACCACGAACAAGGCTAGAGGGCGACGGGAAAGATCTGGATAGATGGAGTCTGGGAAACACCAACAACTCATGGCATGCCCCTGACCCAAGCTCTCCGGCTGGCGACAGAGAGACGTCTCTTTCTTCCCACGACCCCCAAAAGGGTTTAGCGGTGGATAAAAGTAAAAAGTAAAGTTATTTTTCTTGCCATAAGTATCATCTTTCTATCACGTTGTGTTTTTTTAGGTTTGATGTGCATGTGCGTACGTGAGTGTGTATATTTCGGTGTGTACTTCTGTTTGTTTTGTTCATAAGTGCACAAGTGAGCATATTTTCAATAGAGAAAGGTAGAGGGAGTGAGAGAGAGAGAGAAAGAGAGAGAGAGAAATGCACATACTTGCTTATCGAACATACAAACACGCACACCTTCTCCATCTTCCCATCTCAGCCTGATACTCCTCCTCTCCTTCTATCGCTGTTTTCTATCATTTGTTAGTCCTACTATGTAACAGTTTTATTTTATTATAGCCTAATACCTTTCCATCTGTCTCTCAATGTTTTGATTGATGTCTCCTTTTTTTTATACAGAACAAATAATGGGACAACTGTATAATGGATGAAAATTTTACACAAGTGCAATAAGAAGTATAACCGTGGAGTTGTTGTAACAGTCACCATGGAAAAATCATACCAATGGGATAAAAATGACAGGAACACATCAAACTCAGCTGCAAAGTAAGTCTGTTTGTTTTTTTAATCTCGCGCCTTCATGTATATGGTAAATTATGGTCAATCTTTTAAGTGTAGTGTCATTTTCTTTTGTTTACCTTGGTGAAATAAATTCATTCAATAAGATTAATCACTGTTGAAGAATTGTATTAAAAGGTAAGAAAAACATCTATAATAACCCTTGCAAACTCTCTCTCTCTCTCTCTCTCTCTCTCTCTCTCTCTCTCTCTCTCTCTCTCTCTCTCTCTCTCTCTCTCTCTCTCTCTCTCTCTCTCTCTCTCTCTCTCTCTCTCTCTCTCTCTCTCTCCTCACACACACACACACACGCACACACACACACACACTCTCTCTCTCTCTCTCTCTCTCTCTCTCTCTCTCTCTCTCTCTCTCTCATTCTCTCTCTCAATCCATGATCATGATATATCAACATTGTTATTGTGTCATCTATTGTTTTTTGTCTTTAAAAGTAAATCATGACTTTTTTGGTGTTATTTTCAAGACTGAGTCTAAAGAGAGAAAGAATTTGTTCACCCAGAAGCTAAGATTTTCCTTATTTGAACAGTGAACATCTCCTTTAGATGAAAGCTTTTATGTCCATGAATTTTGTAATTTTCTGTAAGATTAACTGTCATTGAAGTGATGGATTGTTTTTTAATTTAACTGTGTAAGTGCTCTATCTATATCCGGTGATGGGCTCTAGGATTAATAAATGAGTTATGACCCACCTGTTTTATCAACAGGATGCTTCCTGTTATAATTTTTTACTCACACACAGGTGCAGTACACCCCAAGGGAGAAAACTCATACAACAGTCGGGTAGCCTGGAAATCATAGATGGAAATGGTACGACAACTCTAGAATTAAAAGTAGCATGATCTGAGTATGTGATGCAGCACTTCATAACTTAGGAAATATGAACATATATATGTTTACTAATTTTTAGAAATAATGTCATTAAAGTGTCTGAATGTTAGAATAACAGGTAGGCCTACACACTTGTGGGGCTAATCTGCCGTCGTAAGGGAAAACGACGAATGGTCAAAATTTTTCGATTTTTGTATTTTTACATATTTCATAGAGTATTTAATTTTGCATCTGATGGTGTAAAAATTTTAGTCATATCTTAATTCGTTTTTGCGTAATTGAGAGTACGTCGTTTTCCCTTACACTGGCGAGCTCCGAGCCAGAGCTCAGTGTAAGGGAGAACGATGAATGGTCGATCGGTCAAGGATCACTGCTCGTTCGGCGTTGTCCCCTGGTCTCTGCCGTTGGGCAAATTCGGCATGGGCGACGAATGGCAATTGGTCACTGTTGCATAGGTACAAACATATTAGGCTTTTTTAGCAAACAAACACACCACCACCCCCTCCCCCGCAGTACCGTCGATGGTTTATAAGAATGTATCTCTTAGTGTGTCTTTCTGTCTGTCTTCACGTATTAGGCCTATGCTGATGGTGTGAATTGACAAGAGCAGGCGGGAGAGAGGGGAAAACGGATGGGAACAGGAGGAAAGGGGTGGGGATGGGACGGTCAAAACAGTATTTAGGGAGAAATTTATTAGCACTACATATTAGTGTCCGCCAGATGTTCACGGACTAACGTCATGTTACTTTGCTTTCCAGTCATTTGACATCCCCAAATCACAACGATGGCTATAGTGCCGCAATTTGTCCAGCACGTGTCACTGGTCGACATCATTATAGAATTACCAAGCAATTAATGACACTGCGTTATGAGAGTAAATTTCTTTTTCGAACTTAAAAAGTGGAGGTATTGTGGCGACACTTAGTCTTGCTTTACGATTTTTTATGACTTGATGGACGATACGATCAAGTATAATAATGTCTTGCAAATTCAAAAGGTTCCAGTCGATCTTTACTTTGTGGTATGTTTCCGATCCGATCAACTGTATCCTTTATTAAATACAAAGCGTCCCATTACCTCTCCCGAAAGCGTGTGTGATACAGTCTTGTCAGATTGTTACATTTCTTACTTGAAAGTTTGACTTTGCAATGATCTGATCGTATTATTGACATTGTAACATTGTTGATCCCTTTGGTCGTGCAGGGAAACATTTCTAATTAGCGAAAATAAAAGTAAAACTCGCTTCTGAAGAAAATACAGTAAAGAGATATCATGGAAACCAAACTTTGGTTCCGAATGAGACAGTTTTAAATCAAGCTGCTGAAAATGTGTGCACATCTGATTTGTACACTGACTGTGTAGTTTGATCAAACGAGGAAGGGAAACGAAGGACGTTTACAGAGTTACAGTTGGGATATAACAAACACCTAACTTTATACGCATAATAGCTAGTTTGTATAAGTCTTATTTTTATTTGTAGTAACCAGTACACAGTCATTACTGTCAATAATGCGTCAAAACTGACGATCGCCTATGCCCATAAACGTTCACGAGTGTAAGGGAGAACGACGTCGTACCATTCGTCGTTTTCGCTTACATCGCAAGGCTCACCTGCAGGTGCGCAGTGTAAGGAAGAACGACGAATGTCGAATAACTTTGCTACTTTTTAACCTAAACCATTCAAACTTTAGAAACTGCTTTAGGAACATCTCAATCAGATATCTGGTGAATTACAGCTTAAAAGAGTGGAAAATAGAAGAGTTATAAAGTGAAACAAGTTTTTGCCTCTCCTGAAAAATTTGCCTCGCTACCTGCGCAGGACCATTCGTCGTTTTCCCTTACGACGGCAGTAATGAGCGGAAGGTAACAAAGAAACTGTCTCCTGAGGTGCTTCTGAGTAAGAGTTTTTCTTTATTGTTTTTAAAAAAGATGTTGTTTTTTAAAGATATATTGGCTGTATTTATGAAATTTTACTCGTTCAATATTCTTATCAATTCAATTGTATTCAGAAGTATATGGATCAAAGCAGCAGAGTTCCGGTAACAGCAGACCTCCCTCACAGTCATCAGATAGGTCTTGGTGAGTTGTGTTTGCAGTTAACATTTCATATTGAATAGTCTTAGTACTCGTGAAGCTGAGTGTACTTTGTAGATAGAGGGCTTTGAAATACTTTTTCGAAAGATAAGATGTTGGACTCACTGACATCTGTCAATCGAAACTAGTGCTTTTCATCTGACACGTTCTTTTAGAATTGATTTGGCGACAGCTTTCTATGAGTCTAAGTCTCTTTTTTGACACAGTTTTAAAAATTCGTCTAATAAATTTTTTTGGTCTTGTAATGTACATTTTGGAAACATTTATCTTGATTTTAAAAATAGCTTAAGTGTAATGCGGGGTGTAATACATTGTTTTGTTTGGTAATTAATATTTTTTAAAAAACGTTTGGACAACAATGTAGTTCAGGGAACTGAAATGATTTTATTTTCTCTTTGCTAGAATGTGTGACAAATCCTGCACTACAGGGATATGTTTTTTTTTAGCATGATGCGGCCTATGGGATGCTTATAGTTCCCGTGTCTATTTTATTTCCTTCCTCAGCACCTTTATGTCTTTCTTTATCCCAGGTCTAGAGCTTCTGTAGGGTCAATTCCACCTCGTTCAGATTCTTCCCTAAGTAAACGGACTCTGACTCCCACTAAACAGATTTCTCTTCAGGCTGTGAGACGGAAAGAGGAAAGGTAAAGCTTCCATGTTCTGTGAATCAGATCTCAGAAGCCGGCATTTGAGAGGAATTTGTTTTGGGCTATCTATTTTGAGGGGATCAAGGAGTAGCAAGTGGGTGTTTTGCAGGGCCTTTGGTGTGGTTTGCTCCTTCATTCCTATCAAACATCTATCGTCTTGTCCTTAGCTTTCCTACTTTTTTTTGTGTTTGTTACTCTTTCGTAACACCTCTAATCTTTGGCACTTATATGATCTATGTGTGTTACAAGTGCTGTAAAACACTTATTAAAACCAAACTAAGGTACAAAAAAGAAGGAGTAACAAACATTTTAAAGGCTGCCTTGCTAGAGGAGCTACCCCTTTATGTGTGCAGCAGTATGCATGGACATCTATTGTCTCTGTTTGTGTGTAATATTCATTTGGGATTGTCGTCTATTCCTGGTAAGGTAGAGTTTGTATCCCTGATGTTTTGTTCCATGCTTGATCACTTTGCTCAGATAATATTGACGGGCTGACCGGGACACATCCTGTGTGTTGAGGGTGGCCACGTCCGAAAATTCCTCCTTTATTGAGCACTGACATATTTAGGGAGAAAAGACCTTGAATATGCACAGCTTCATTACATGGACATCTATGAAAGGAACAGACCGTAAAAGGAATTTGAAAGTGATCAACACCAGCAATGAGTCATGGGAAGGCAGGTTGAAGAGGGCCCAACATTTGAAGTTTTAAGAGGAGAAATTAGTGCTGAGGCAGACAAACAGCTGTGTTCTACTCACTCTGTCTACAGCTTCATTTGAAGAAATGTGGCATTTTCTAGAAAGATCTCTACTTTCACATTGGTCCCTTCAGTTATAGACTACAATTCTGTCTGCGAAAAGCTGATTAACTTATATTTAGCATATGTGCATACCATGAGGATTTACAATTAAAGTGGGCCTGATAATTTTAATTATTCTATTGTCTAGCATCTGCGTTTGTCGCGGCCGCGACCCGCGATTATTGGGAAATTTTGGTCCTCGAATTGCGGGCGCGATTTTTGCATTTCCCCCCTCCCCCCCAAAAAAACAACAACAAAAACCAAAAAACCACCGCTCTGGAATTTAAAAAATCAAAAAACAAACCCCGGGAATTAAAAATCAAGAAACTAAAAAGGAAAACATAAAAACCCAAAAATAAAGAAACCGAACCTCATTAACTTTACTTTTAGAAAGAAAAACTAGAAAGTGTACTTTCACTTTCACTTCACTTCCTCTCTTTCTCACTTGTTGACACCACGTTGATTTTTTATTTTCAAGGAAATTTCATGTGAAGAATAAGTACAATACATAGTTCCTTGTTATTGTTCTGACGTATTGTTTTTTTCAGTTTTTGATGTTTGGTTTTTCGGGGGGGGGGGGGGGGGGTTTGGGGTTTTTTTTGTAAGTGTTTTACGGTGCTCGCAACTGCATAAGGTCATATAAGCGCACGGGACACGTTAAACTATTTCAGTCGGTAGGAAATTTTGAATTTTGCCCGGGTGGTGGCCGAAGCCTACTCTTATCGATTTTAGACCACCAAGGGATCTTTAACGTTCGCAACTTGCACATGGGATCTCCAAGATTTTTCGCCCTTGTCCGAGAAGGCTATATGTAGATCTTTCCTACCAGGAGATCAAGGGTGTGGCTGAAAGACAGCAGTAAGAAGGAGCTAAGGAGTAGCAGTAGAAAGGCTGCAAAAAGAATCAGGAGCCCAGAGGAGAGGGCAAAGGAGGTGAGAGGGTGAGGACAGAAAGAGGAGACGAAAGCAGACGACAGAATAATGCTCGAGAGCGAGACAATTCTAGTAAAGAAAATTTTTTCGGTCGTTAGCTGGATTCGAACCCGGGACCTTTGAATGAGAGACTAATACCTTAGCCTCTAGGCCACGAGAGCCCCCGTTTTTTATGTTTGTATAGCGTTTGTATAATGTATAATTTGATGTTGTTCCCACTTTTTAAAAAAATACAAAAATGTGTTATGCTAATGCGTGTCTCTACCAAAACGGAATACTGACACCGACAGGCCCATTGTGTGTGATTCCATAATTTACTTGTGAGTTTAACATGAAGTAATATCCTGTATTAAAAAAAAAAATTACACATGTTTAGGGTTAAAACGTCCAATCTTCGGATAGGTTAACACAAATCTTTATTTGTTAATTTTCGTAGTTGTTTATGTGCTGTTCTAATTTTGATTTCATTCTGTTGTGAAACCTTTTTTTTTTCACATTTTACATCCTGTGTGGCCACAAATTATATTATTGTTGCATAAAACGGAACACAAGAGATTCTGGTGCTTTAGATGAAATTAACTCTATCAACATGCTATATAATATGCTTCGTCAATGAGAGTTGAAAGCTTGAAAATTAATGGCAACTTTTTTGGCAACTTTTGTCATTTTTGTGGCAACTTTTGGCAACTTTTGGACAAAAACATGTCAACAAACGCAGATGCTAGGATTGTCTCTCCTGTCTTTACTTTTTTTGGGTAGATTTTGTTGACTTTGGCTCCTTGATTAAACATTCCACCTCTAAATAAAATCAATTTGCATGCAGAGAGCTTCAGTGTTTGAAAACCAGAATATATGGAAACTAAGGCCATTCCCCTATACTTTACCTGCCTTGTGTTGTGCTTTCCTCTTTGCAAATAAAAGTCATGTTTGTTTCCAGTCTTTGAAGCTAAATTTGATATAATAGCTTTCCACTATTATCAAGTGAATGGATATTTAACTGGTTGAGGGTTGATATATTCATCCCAACACTCACCTATCAATGCCAAACATGGACCACGAACAAGACATTAGAGAAAAGAATTACAACATTTGAAATGTGATGCCTTAGAAAAGCAGTAAACAAGACCAGGCGAGACAAAATTAGAAACTCTGTAATCCGAAAGATGGAGGGCACAAATGATGTCATGCATCACATCCAACACCAAAGAATCAAATGGTTCGGACATCTCCTACGATTACCAACACACCATCTAGTATAACGTGCCTACATAAAAAAAAATGATGGCAACAAGGCTAGAGGGCGACTGAAAAAGACCTAGATATAGATGGAGTCAGGGAAACATTAACCACCCATGGCATCCCCTGACTCAAGCTCTCCCTCTGGCGACAGAGAGACGTCTCTTTCTTCCCGCGACTCCCAAAACGGTTTAAACGGCGGATAAAAGTAAAGTAAAGTAAAGAGGGTTGATAGATGTGAAGATCTTACCTCTTCTCTACGTTTCATTCTATGCTATTCTAATGCATTTTGCTTAGTTTGAACAATACTTTGGGATAGCATTACAGAAATTCCAACTACGTATTTAGACTTATTCTATAGAAACGTGATTTTTTAAAATCACTTTAATAAATTTCTGCTGTTTGTGTATCTACTTCAATCATCAGTACTGAACCCTTTGTGGATCATGTGGACTGGAGATCCCTGACGCAGGACAGTAGTCACCGTGCAGCTTGGAGTGATCCCTCCACAGAAATTGAAGGTCTATTTCCTCCTCCTCCTCCTCCTCCTCCTCCTCCTTTTCCTCCTTTTTTTTTTTCTTCCAGACTAAAGTTCTGGATTCTTCATCCAATGGTATTATTGATGTTACATAAATGACATTTCCCTATTTCTAGAATGTAATGTTTTTGCATTGAGGCATACTCATTTTGAAGGTTTATTTTGATCTGTGCTGTATTTGTTTTGTTTCATCAAAGTGAATTGATCCAGTTTCATTTCTTTTGTCACCACTATCATTTAGGGTCTTGAATGTTCTTATTAATGTTGGTGATAACTTTTGCCAAGAAGGAAAGAATTTTGAAGGGCCTCTCAGAGTTTTTTTTGTTTTTTTGTTTACCTATCGTACTTTTACAATGGTTCTCGAAACATTCAATTTCATTATTCATGCGAGTGAAAACTCCCCCCCAATATCTCTCTATGTGTGAGATGCCAACATTTTGAGAAATGGATAACTTTAATCTTTCAAGATTAGATATGAAGTCTTGGTATATTTTATGAGAAATGATTTTAGTTATTTAATTTTTACAAGTTTTCTTCATGTTGAGTGGTCTACATTTGACTGCTTGCACAAAATAATACATCTGAATATCTGTCAGTTAAGACGCACCTTATAAGACTCTTTCGAAATAAGGATTTTGTTTTAGGCACACATAGCTTGGGACTCAAATGTATTGTTATGAATATTCACATTCTCATTTCATAATTTGTTATGTGTCACAAACAGATCAGAGCCAGCGTTTGGGCAAGCTGAAGTTACCAAAGCACAGAGAGGATGATGAGACTGCTGTTATGGAGAATGGGGATGAGGAGGTGGAAGCATCAGCTGCTTCCAAAGTGATGACAGCAAAAGAGATGAATGCCGAGGAAAAAGAAGAAGATGACAAGGAAACAGAGAGTACAGATGAGGATGATGATGAAGATGAAGATGATGAGGATGATGAGAGTGAGAAGAAGAAACTGAGAGCACCGAATGAATTATTAATGGAGGTAGGCAGTCATATTTTGGCTCACTCTTTTACCTGTACTATTTTAGTACATGTGTCTTCAATAGAGGGTGTGCCAGTTTTTTGTCTCTGTGGTGTACTAGTGTATCACTGGTCCTACAAAAGCTTGTACATGTTATAATGCAGTGGAGTCCACTTATAACGAGTCCGGAAAAAACAAGAAGTCTGTTATAAAGACACCATTCTTAAACCCCGTTTTTTTCTCTTCTTTACCTTTGTAAATAAAATACTGCTATAGCACAATCAGACAAACACGGTTATAGACTTATAGCGGAATACTGTATCCAAGTTATCTCATGTGCTTAGTTTAAGCTATAAAAAGAGAGACTTTGTATTGCAATATCTACTGGTTTTACTTGTACATTTAAAATATATGTTGACTTAAAGTTTGATGATTTTTCCGTGACAGTATTGTTTGGGGTAAGATAGGAGGATATGGTCTGGTTACTTTAAATTTCTTATTATCATTACAATTGTCCTAGTCATTTCTAGGTAAATATGGTAGATACTGTGCTGACCCTTCATGAACTACATGTACTTGTCAATCTCAATCACTGTGTTGGATTGTGGATAGCATGTATTTATCAATCTCAATCACTGTTGGATTGTAGATAGGAGTAATATTTTACTGTACCTCATTCTGGACACAAACTCCTGTCTATTCATAATATGTATCATGATTACATCTCTTGTTCACCTTCTACAGTTTGTAGACTGTCTGATGAAGAAAGACTTCAAGGTGGCAGACAAGCTGTGCAAAATGAGTGAGTAGACACTTTGTCTTGATGATGTGAAAAGGAAAACAAAGCAAAACATAAATTAATGTCCAATGAATGTAATTTATAGATACTCATAGTTAATTAAGTAAGATGAAAGAAATGGGTTGATTACCCTGCTGGAAACGCTTTTTGAACAGTCAGCTCAGAAGCCTTCAAGGCTCTTAGTTCTTTGATATTTGTTTGAACTTAAGTTTAAAACACACAGAGACAATGACAATGATTTTAGAGCTGGGAATTTCAGGGAAGACAGAGAGAAACAGCGGGGGAACAGCAAAGATGTAAGAAGACCTTTGGTGCCTCCCTACAATGAATGTCTTTGACATGCCTGGCTGGTAATTGGCTACAATTTTGATCATTATGATTGCATTCAAGCATGACCTAACAATTAAATATGTTTGATTTTCAAGGGTCAAATCAGATTTTGTCAGTGTGGTAACTTTTACCCCTCTATGGATTCCAATCTGACAACAGTCAAAGGGTAAAGCCTCATATCAAATGGGGATCAGATAAACATGTCTGTAGTGGACACTGGGTGTTAGAGAATTGAGAGCCAGATAGACTAGCTAACTGACACCATGAAGGCGTGTCGTTTTTTTATAATAATATTTTTGTCCATATATTTTATGGCATTACAGCTCTTCAAGAAAGAGCAATAAATACATGCACTTGTATTTGAATAAGAACGACCTAATGGAGTTATTGTGAAGTCATGCGAATCTTCTGTTGGAAAGGAGACACTGTCTGTTGATAAGTACTTTTACTTTTACTTGAAATATGGCCACCTGGAATAGAATTAATTTCAATTTTGGTAGGTTTACATATTTTTGTATACTTCCTATTGAACGTTGGTTATGATGATAGTAAAAATGTGTCTTCTAGTCTTTTGCAAGTAATAGGAATTTATGCCACCTGAAAGCTTTTTGAATAAGCAACCAATTAAAGATTAAGCCCTTATCTTTTTTATCTTTTCTCTATTACAGTTTTGTTGTATGAGCCGGAGAATGCAGAGGCTCTCAAGTTCAAACCTCTCATTGAAGAGAAGATACAACTAGGTAAGATTGCTTGACTATTCTATGATTTAAATGCTGTAAATAAAACACAAATAGTATTTTTTTTTTCAAGGGGAAACCTTTCTATGGAGGCTTGTGAATCTGAGAAGTTATGTTAAAGGTTTTTCCAGATAACACCATTGATCAGCAGCCTGGTTTTGGGTTTTTAAAAAGTTTTAATAAGAGTTTTAAGGCACTTGCAACACAATAAGGTCATACAGGTGCTCTTTTGGAGACTGCATAACTCACAACAAAGTATGGAGAAAAGTTGCCACCCACTCGCTGGACAGTTTGTATAGCTGGCGAGTTATGGCCTGTGTCAGTGCGACAGGAAACTATATTAAGGGCCCTGTGATAAAAGGGGACAGTTCCAATTCTCAAACTTGTGCTTTTGTTAACAGCATTAAAAAACTTGATGTAAAAAAGGGCTGTAAGCAATGTCACTAACAAATGATCTGTAGCGTCCGGGGAAAGTTATATGATTTCCTTATATTATGTAGGAAAATGCTTGAGAACAGGCAAACCAAGCAAGTAAAGGCTATAAACCCGTACATTTTCAGAAAGCAGAATGTGAATAGGTAGTAAAACTGATTTGTGAAGGAGTTGAAGTGTTTGGCGATATGATAAAATGAGATATTCGAACAGAAACAACCTCTCGAATTATGTCTGATTAAATCAGCTGTCGACACTTCACCAGGAGGGTTTATATTATTTTCTTTGATTCATGTATTTGTCTATATTTTTGCTTTGTGGTCAGTTCTTTCCCCCATAATACTATTATAATTGTTAATTTATTTTCTCATTTTCAAGAAATGGATTCTTGCATTAAAGATCCTATTCTGTGTAGACTACCCTATGAACATATTGTCAGATCTTTTGTGAATGAATTTCCCTTCTGGGTTTTGCTTGATGATGTTAATTTCTAAAGCTTCTTCTACAAGGCATTCCACTTCTATGTTTTACCTCAGTACAAACGGCTTTTCTAATGTCTGATGCTGTGTGTTTCTTTCTGTTGCAGATGCAGAAGCTGAAAATGAAGAGAGTGATGATGATGATGATGATGATTCTGATGAAGATGATTCTGATGATGATTCTGATGATGATGACTCAAGGTAATGCTTCATTGCCTCATCTATCACAGACATAATGGATTAATTAAATGTGAGGCAGCGTGGTGGAATCAGGCTCTCGTCAATTTTTGGGCATGTAGAGTTATTGGTATCATCTTAAAGCTTGTTCACTTGTCTTTATTTGGATGAAAAAGATGTCCATTTATCTTGAATACAAGTCGAGATATTTGAGAAAGAAGGAGGTTGGGGTCACCTGTTTTCAGAGGTAAAATTAGTGAGAAATTGGCCGCCAAATATTAGTTATTTCCTTAGTTTAAGAGTCCGTGGTAACTGAAAATTTACATTTTTTGTGCCTTTAATTGACGTTTTTCAGAAAAATTCACTCAGAAATGAGTTCTTTGATGGGCATGAAAGGTGTTGGGCCAAAAAACATAAATTTGATAAAAATTCACAAACCTGCGGAAAAATGCGCGTTTCTTCACTTTGATTATTTTGACGAGAACCTGATTCCACCACGCTGCCTCACAAATGTGTTTTATTTGTATATTTTAGCTTGTTTCTTTGGTTCTTGTTCAAATTTGTTGAATCTGTTGCTTTTAAAAGTCTCTTCAACTGTGATTGTAAAAGTTGAAAAAGAATGAAATAATGAAAAGCATATACTTTTTTTTTTTTACAGTATCATTGTGATATAATAAAAGTAATGAGAAAAGCCCGGGAAATTTCTGCCATGAGGCTCAAGATCTTCTCGAAATTGTATTGCAGTAAGGAACATATACTTGATAGATTGTGATCACACCCTATTAACTTGTTGCAGAAAGTGTACTAATCCTATCACATGATATTAAACATGGGTTGAATGGTATGTATATTTTAACATATGTTAGTCATGTTTTTCAAAGCTTATGAACCTTTGCATGATATACCAAAGTTTTTCTTATTGTTCTGAGAAAAATATTTTTTGATGTTAGCTTTTTCATATGGAAGACAAAGAAGAAGAAGAAGAAGAAGAAGAAGAAGAAGAAGAAGAAGAAGAAGAAGAAGAAGAAGAAGAAGAAGAAGAAGAAGAAGAAGAAGAAGAAGAGCATGCTCATTTTATCTCTTCCAAATCTCAAAAACATTTTAAATGGTCATTCTAAATTATGCTTATATATTCACACCAAATTCTAAAAGAGAAAGTTGAGGAATGGAGTTCAGATATTCGCACAATTTCCCACACATTAACTTTTTTTCTTCTCATCTTCTGCTCACAGCTCAAGTGAGGACTCTGATGATGATGACGATGAAGATGGCAATAACAATGAAGCTGCTGGCAATGATCCTGTCAAAGTAGGTTCCTCTGAGAGGTCCACGAGTGACCCTCGAGCCAGACAGAATGATCCGAGTCAGAGGCCATGGGCATTCACTCTGAGGGATCCAAACCTCCCGTCTTCCTCAAAGAACTGACAATAGGATAAGAGTGCTGTGTGAATGACTGATGGGCTGAACATATAGTGTGATATATGAATTCAATTTTGAACAAAACTCACCTGAAAGTCTGAAGCGGTCAAATAGAAATTCAAATTTTTTATGAGAAAGTTTTTTTTTTTAAGTTAAGCAAAATGAATTTGAATTTCTGCTACTGAAAGGTTGATAAATTCTCAAAAGACTGGTTGCTGAAATTTGCTCTATGATCTTTCATTCTGTGAGTACAGTTGTAGTTGTCTGGGAAAACCAGGTGGAAGAGGCACGCCTCTTTACCAATATAAGCAAAAAATTAGTTTATCCTTATCATGTTCATTTTTTTCTTCATAGTCCTGTATGAAAATTGTAATACGAATGTCTGAATTTACTGCAAATTGTCATCCAGTTGTTCTGGTGCAATTAGCGCAAAATTTTGAAAAAAATTTATATTGCATAATCTATTGTGTTTGTTGCATGGGCTCAAGGAATATTTTGTTAAAATTCAAATTCTAAATGTTATAAAAAGCAAGAGAAGGTATATGTGTCACGACGTGGTGGAATCTGAATCAGGCGCTTGTCAATTTTTGGGCATATAGGATTATTGGTATTTCTTTTGTTGACTTACGGAGCTTAAAAGAATTCCTGGTGTCAAACGTTTTCATGCTGCTTTCTAGGTTGAGTTGCTTCAAGGCATATTTACTGAAATGAAATATTTTTTAGAAAGGTGTAAAATGTGGACATTTTTATAAATGCGAGGCAATATTAAAATTTATCTTTAAAAATAATTGAGAAAACCTATGTTGTTGTTGTTGTTATCGATCCAGCAACAGCTGGGCTCTCGCCCTTCTGTCCAATGCCATATTGTGATAAGTGCAGGTCTGCTGCAGTTGCTGTAATGTTCCATAGAGTGTGTTGTCTATGTTAGGTCTCGGAATGTTAGCTCTGATGTCATTTAGGGCTGTGCAGTGGAACAGGTGATGCTCCACAGTCTCATATGCATAGTCACACAAGGGACACATTGGGGGAAGTTCCGGGAGGAAACCTATACTGCTGAGCATTTATAAGCATGTAATGAAGGATAAGATTGTGCTCGTGCATGTATGGACATCTGTGAATGTGTTTGTGTGTGTGTGTACATGTTTGTGTCTGTGTGTGAGTTTCAGTTTCTCAGAGAGAGAAAAAGAGAGAGAAGGGAAGGCGAGAGAGAGAGAGAGAGAGAGAGAGAGAGAGAGAGAGAGAGAGAGAGAGAGAATGAATCTATTTTCATCTAAATACTTATAGTATTATTTGTGGTTTGTTTTTTTTATGCTTTGCATCCATTGTGCTGCTGGAAGATTGCGTGAAGCATGTAACCACAATAAAATTGATTGGTCAAGTTTACCTTTTGCTTCTTTTTCTTTACTTTCTGATATTTTTCCTTCCTTAGTACCTGTAAGAGTGTTCAGGAGGTGAAAAATAATAGATAAGATACATCTTAATTGTCCAGATCCTAGCACATTAGTTTGGTGTTTCGCCATGTACACACATATATACACACACACACACACACACACACACACACACACAGACACACACGCACACACACACACACGCACACCAAACATGCACACACACATAGGTTTGCAGTCACATGCATAATATAAATGAATATTAATATAAACAATAATAACGTTAAGCCAGTATTCTGATTGTAACTCAAGAAAGAGCAAACAATCGCAGCAAAGTCAGAAGGCCTGATGTGTGAGCTTGTAGATCTTCAGTGTCTTGTCCAAGTCCAAGGCCTCAGTCACAGTCCTACTTGACTTCCTCTTGTTTGTACCCATACACCTTGACGTTGTATGTCTTACCAACTAGCTTATAGGGTAAGGATGGGGGATGCAAGTCAATTGTCCAACCCACATGCTTCTCCACTGTGGCAAAAAGTGGTTTTGCACCAATCAATTCTCTGATCTTGCAGTTTCTTATTTTGCTGATGGCTCTCATCAGTCACCGCATATCACAGACTGAAATCTTGTTTTTAGTTTTAGTAGAGGTGTTACGTCAACTGCATAAGGTCATATGAGTACCAGAAGATTAGAGGGGTTACAAGAGAGTAACAAACATAAAAAAGAAGAAGGGAAGATAAGGACGATTGATGTTTGATAGGAAAGAAGAAGCAAACCACACGCCACACAAGAGCATCCGCCAACCACCCAGACACAGAAATATTGTATTTCGGCATTTCTGTCAGGGTCCACGACAATTTCTGTGTTTGATCATCAACAGTTTCAACAGATTCATTCACAATTAATTGCAACACTCCATTGTCAAAGTAGGCTCATTTTTCTTAAATGTAAAGAAGCTTGAATTTAAACCCTTTTACTTTTAGCATTGTGCTTCAGATAATATGGTTAAGCTGATGTAAAAAAATTTTTGTTGCAAAGGAATACTACTGTTTTTCTTTAAGAAATATTTTCAACCAACACTGATGTTTATGATTGTTTCAGCCTGTAGCTCAAAACCAACACAGCTGAGTTTTGGGTGATACTTTGCCATAAACATTGGACTAGCGATATAAAAACAAATTATCATCCCCATCCAATCCAAAATACTCGTTTGATCTTATTAAAGACGTAGTTTTTGCACCCTTGATCATCACAATTTAGATCATTTATGAGGCGGGTTTCTGACTCTTGCCTATTTGGGCCGACCAAGGCTGAAGCCCCGGTTACACGCAACGAAAAATAGTATCAGATTCATCGTATCAGATTGAGAGAACTGTCCGTTTTATCGAACTGTGTTGTCTGTTTACACGTTCCAATCTATTGTTCAATTTTCTATCGTCGATTGAGGAGATTCCTCGTCATAAAACCACCATGTCTCTTTGCGACGACAGCGATTTGCCTGCTCTCTATGTGAAGGTTTCGAGCTCTGGACCTAATGAAAGAAAGGCGAACACTGTACCTCTAGATCACGAGAGCCCCCCCCTTTTCCCCTGTACATTTTGATTTAGCAGAACGGTGTCTTTAGAAAAGGGTGGCCATACTGTAGGCCTACCGTGTTGTGTTTAGAACCGGTGGCTATGATTTGACTGCAGATAGATGTGCAACCAACCGAGTGACCTTGAAGCACAGCTTCACCTTTGACGATCAGCTAAATAATAAAATTGCTAAGATATTTATAATAACGCACCAAATCAGGTTCTCCGCGAGCATCTTTGCTTATTTTGAGACGCTGATTCTGAACCTACGATAATTATTTTAAAAATTTGAGTTCTGAGTTTATTTCTGCGTGGCGGCAAATTTCAAAGTGAATCTATGTCACAGCGTTTGACCGTGATCGCATGGACAATGTCAAGCAGCGCTTGATTTCTCGACCGAGTCTCCAAACCATCGTTCAAACGTCCAAATTTTGTACAATTTTGTAGTTACACCTGACGATTTATCGTATGATCGCTAGATCATCCAGTTTTTGTACAATTTATCGTTACGAGTAACCGGGCCTTGAGAGGGAAAAAACACCCCTGCAAAATGTCCCAGATGCTAGATAAAAATTGTTTCCCCACTCGGGTATCAAACAAGGGTCTCAGCGGACAACAGCAAAGCACCAAACTGCTACACCACAGGCACCAGTTGTCCAATCTTATTCTGAGTTAAGTCTACTGTACCTGCTAAATCAAGGTTAAGTCAAACCTAAGTGCCAACACATGGATACAGCACAATTTTGGAGAAGACCCGACATCTATGGAATGTTTGATAGGCTCTTTCCCTTGTACTTATTTACAGTTTGATTTTCATGAGGACAAAATATTTCATTGATCATCCCCGTCTTTCTGCTTTTCACACAGCACCAGATGGCCCTGACAAGCGGGTTAGAAGCAGCCTGTCTCCTAAATGACAAAAAGTGTTGATGGGGGCGTAAATCATCACTAAAAAGAAAAACCCTTTATTTTTAAAGTAGGACTCGCGTGTTCATTCTTTTCTCCAAGCCCTAAAAGTAAAAGATGAGGCATTAGCAGGACTATTGATATTTTTCGCATATTCAGAGTGTTACTGTGATCATCATCAATGCCTTTCACCCCTGGCAGGGTATACGCCAAATACAAGCTCCCTCCATTTATTTCTGTCCTAGACTGTCCTTCCAAGTGAGCTTCATCTCTCTCATGTCTCTTTCCACGCATCTCCTCCATGTTTCCAGTGGCCTACCCCTGCCTCCTGCTCCCTGTGAATTTCACTGCAGCGACTGTCTTGTGATGTTTCCGCTGGGCTTTCTGAGGGCGTGTCCCATCCGTCGCTACTTTCTTAGTCCCATTTCTACTTCTATATCCTTTTGTCCTGTCCTTTCCCACAGCTCTTCATTTCTTATGCTATCCTGCCACTTAATTCTTAGGATACTCCTCATACATCTGTTGATGAAAGTTTAGACTTTATTCAGTAACACTGTACACCAGGCATTGTTGTTTTTTTTGGTGCTTTTTTTATTTTGGCCTTCTCACTGTTACTAGATTCTATTTGCAAATGTTTTAAATTTGCCATTTGAGTCTTCCAGTGTCATGTGTGCCAAGGCAGTAGCACCACAATTTCATATTTTCCTGAACGACCTAAATTTGCAAATTTCTTTAAAAATCATGAATTCAAGTTGTGTGTGAAAAACCCCCAACATGGTTTGCAGTATTCTAAGCCAAATAAACACAGTGAAAGGTACACAAAACTTTCTTTACAGGAATATTTTATTTGCTTGTTTTTTTCCTATTTTAGCAAATGGAATTATCCAGTTGCAACACCAGGACAAAAATGACCAATAAGCACAAAAATGAAGAAAGTCACAAAAATAACTTTTCCCCCCAAATAACAATACACTCACATGGTGTTTATACGATTTATCACAAGCAGAAAGGCCAAGACATATTCGAGTCATTTTTATATCATTAGACACAAAGATGAGCCCCTCGCACAAAACATTCAGAGCATTTCAATGCTTTTGCAAAGTTCAGGAAAAAGTAAAAGCATGTGACAGCAATCAGTTCATGACATTTGCTGAAAACAGGAACAAACAAGTCGAAATAATGTCAAATATATCAAAGAACACTACAGCTTTATGGGTATTGTTTCCGTGACCTTTGACACAATGGAGGTACAACTATCTTACAAGGACTAGTTCGCAAGAAAGTCCTTGCCGATTGGGAAAGTCAGGAATGAGTCTTAACCTTACTAAACAAAGAGGTTGAGATTTGTTTTAAGAAAACATGAGAAAAAGCATCCCGAACAACCAGAGATTTAAGTTTACAAAAAAGATATTATGTCCACTACTGCATCCATTTCCAAAGCATTATAATAAATATAATGTGTGTAAGTTTGGGAAAAATGGAAAAACGATGATCAAAAGGATTCTGGGAGTAGAGAGGCGGGGATAAAAAAGGGATAAGGAAAACTGAGAGGGGAGAAGCTGTTTTGAATCCTCAGAACTACACAGGGGAAAAAACCCAACTTTTTTAAGTTATCAAGAAATCTACACCCTCATAAATCTGGCTGGCCTACAAACATCAGCTTCATTATGGAACTTCATGTCATTGTTCACTGTCTATCATACCTGATAATCCTTATCCCCATATGCACACTGGTTTACCAAATGCATACACTATTGCATAACACCATGAGTACAGGCTGCTTGTTCAGTGTGATCAAACTTGTAAGACTATATATCTAAAGTCAAAATATGCTCTAGACAGACAAATAGGCAGCCATACATGCACCTGTGAAGTTCAGGACTCACATATAGTACGAGCTGTAGTGCCAACATACGGTACCATTAACACTAGTTTTATTAGCTCCGTGAATATTGCACCAGTATAGAGTTGAATTTGCAAGTATTAACATAATGGATATAAAGAAAAACAAACTATCGATACAGAAAGCATACGACTGAGCCACTCACACCTGTACACTCACAAAACTCAGTAGACAGATAAATGCACTTAAATTTTCATACACTACAAATTGTGTTCATTATTTTAAAAAATCAAATTAAAAATTAGTTTACAAATTGAATATTCCTACAACACTGGGAGGGAAACGTGGGGGAAAAGTGCCAGAATGTAGTCCAGATTTACATCAGCTTCGTCTAATTAGAACCACTAGTAAGCAGGCATTCTTTCCCTGCAACACAGCAATAACATTAAGCTGAGTCAGCATAGTGATTGCCACATTTCTTCTGGGCCAGAGCAGGACTAGGACAACATTCACACTGACAGGACTCAGCAGGAGCAGATAACATTAGAGCACCCACCAACCATCCATATCTTCAACGCAATTCCTCTACACAAAAATAAAACAGAAAAAAATCCCCAAAAGGACATGAAGCGAACACAATGCCCTCTGTATGACCCAGGCAAAACACCCCCACAGCACGAAAAACATGAGGGAGGGGGGAGGGATTACGAAACGGCGAACCTTCGGAAGACTGGGCAGTTTCAAATAATGACTTGTAAATTTGAAACCATAGCAAAAAGAGAGAAGCAGAATTTGGCCAAACTCATACGCTTATTCCTTTAACCCTCTGAGCCCTGGTTCTCCCGAGCCAACAGGAAGCATGGACCTGAGCCTCCCTTGAGTCAAAGGCTCAACTTGCACATCGGAGTGTTTAAAAGATAAGAGTAGCACAACCTCGGGTTCATGGGGTTAAAGAAAGGAACACCAACACCTGGTCAGCCAAGCATACGCTTTTCTCAAAAGAATAGAGGGACAGCATGGTCAAACAGGTTTAAAACAAGAGCTCCAACAGAGAGAAATACTTAATTCAACCAGACATGTACAACTGTTCCCTAACTGTTCTCCTGCTTGTAGCATGAGACTGTAAAAGACTACACCCGTTATCACTATTCAGTATATAATGAGCTTAGCATTTACAGCGGAACATTAACCCTTTCAGTTCTGATTCCCAGAGTGCAAATGACTAGTGCACCTAAGGCTCCCTTGGGTTGAATACTACATTTACACAGCAGCATGATGACGCAAATGCTCAGTGCTGCACGCTCAGACATATGCTCCCGTCTTTTGGATTAAGCCCCAGCCAATTCATTCTCAAAGCTTCAAGCGCAGGCTAAAGGAAATTATAGCAAAGGAACTGTGCCAACTACGTCCAGTCAAAATTCTGACGTACATATAGATAACACACATGCCAGAAAGTTACCCTGTAACACGTCTAGCACAACTTCATTTCATAGGAACAGATGGCAAGGGAGCGGGGATTTGACAGAAATAGCTCATTTGTGCAAACAGCGAAAAATAGAGCTATGTTTGACCTGTATCATACTCGTTTAACTAACATAAATGAAAATAAATAAAGATCACCTAAGAAACTAATGAACAGCCCATCTGATCTGGCACTCTTACATCATTCTCGTCAAACTCGAAGAGACAAATTAAAAAAAAAAAGGTAAATAAAAAAACTAAGGAGTTGGTCGCGTCTTTATCTGAGTGGGGGAGTTGCGCCTGCCAGGGAGGAGTCCTCCTCTCTCTCGGCCGCATGTTGCTTCAGCTCCTGCAGGGTGTGCACGAAGCCAGACCATTCGTCTGACTTGGGGTTGGCGATATGCTGAAATGACGATAATAATAATAATAGATTGCATTTATACAGTTCTTTATCCTATACTAATATAAGCTCTGAGCCCCTAAACAAAGTGCAGATGTAGGTGTAAGCAAGGGAGTTACGGTTGAGCCACTCACAATTCATTTTAAGTCTCAAACAGATACATTTCTTGATTTTTGTTTGAGTAATGAGGAACAAAGACACTATAAAAGTCATTTAGCACATGGAAATAGCAAGACAGACAGACAGAAACAGTAGACAGAAAGAAAGAAGTATGATCTCCCAAAGGTGTCTTCAACCATCCACACTGTCAAACAGATAAGGACCACAGTAATAGAGAAAGAAAAGAAAAAAGAGCAGACAACAACAGGGCATCCATCAACAGTCATACTTCTCACATACAAATCACATGTGCTTTCCAAAAAGGAAAATAATAATAATAATAAATAGCATTTGTATAGCGCATATCCCCGCCCAACAGCAGGCTCTTTGCGCTTTACACTATATTATTACCCCAGCAGACCATAGAACACTCTGAAACATTCTCAGCTTCCCGGGAAGCATGCAGTGCAAGCAGCCGATTAAGCGCTCAAACACTAACAAACTGACAAGATCTTTCGCTGTCTATAGCTGGGTACCCATTCCCACCTGGGTGAAGTGAGGAAATTCGTGTAAAGTGCTTTTCCCAAGGACACAACATCGGGCCCTTGACGGGATTCGAACCCACGACCTTACGGTTGCGAGTCCGACAGCCTAACCACTAGGCCACCGACGCCAAAAAGGAAAAGCAAGTCTTGACTCTAGAAGAACATCACAGAGCGCCTAAATCGACTACGTCCACCTCTTTTTGCCTCTTCCTCCCAACCCTTTCATTAAACAACAAGAAAAGAAAAGAACATGCTCTGAGTAATACTATGGTTAACTTAAAAATCATTGAATAAGATACCAACAAAAATAGTTAAATTAATGTCTCTGATTTAAGGCAAGCCCATAATCTAAGCAAAACATGAAAAAAAGGAAAAAAAACCCCTAAAAAATACTTTAACAATGAAGAGGATGGGAGGGAACAAAGTATTAGTTGAGACATGTGCAGAGAAAAAAAACCCAGACTTTCAATTTTTGAAAAATCTGATTCCCTCGCACGACAGGCGGGCAGGCCAGCAGCTGTACTTACCTCTCCAACGTCAAACAGATGTATTCTCCCTGTGTTGTCGCCCACACCGATATGGTGGCCACTCTGGTGCCATCTGCACTGGTTAAGGGCCGGCTTTCCGTCTATGCTCGCTGACGCTGTGGGGACCTACAGAAAAATTATCAAAAGAAGAGGGGAATGAAAATTTTGATAAGTTGACTTTATAAGTCATTCAATGGGATTAATTTTGGGAAAGGACATGTTTTGTTTTGTTTTATTTTCTTTGTATCTTTTTAGTAAGCAGAATCACATCCACTCAATACTGGTCATTTAGTACAGAGAAAGATCAACACAGATAGACAAAAACACAGGGAAAGAAAAGACGAAGGACATGCATTGACAGGTCAACTTCAGAAGTCTTCCAATATGAATAAGGAAAAAAAAGAAAAAAAAAGAAAAAGAGTATAAATTCATTTGACCCGAAAAAAAGAAAAGAGAATTTAAAACATCAAAAGTAAGTAATAATAATTATAATAATGAAGATCATTTCTATAGCACCCACTCCCGTGTAAACACAGCTCTAGGCGCTTTACATAAATGCATGTAAGAACAATATTCATGCACGCGACACACACATACGCACACACACAAATCCACACACTCATATACCCACAAACACACACACATAACACGCACACACACTCACGAACACATAACACGCACACATGTGCACACACATTTATGCCAAACACACACACACACACACACACACATCTACTTGCTTATCACACGCACACGATTACATATCGTCACGAAATGAGCATAAAATAATAGCTAAATAAAAGAGTAGCTGAAGAGACAAAGTACCTCAGTCTCATTGTTGAGGTTCCAAAGGTCCAGTCTTCCCTCCCCGTCCACGCTGGCAAAGAGTGCCGGGTGTATGGGCGACCACCTGACGTCGTACACATAGTCGTTATTGTCCTCAAATGAGTGAAGATGGTACGGTTGCTGTGGACAGAGACAACATGATTGTGAACATTTTAGTCAACACCGACTTAGTTTGAGTTTGAGAGAAGAAAAGCACATCAGTGCAATCATGGTCTTGTAGTCTCAGGGAAAAAGTATCTACAACTCATCGCTTTCCTTGGATGCTCTCTGAAAACATATTATCTTGACCAGTTCTCATTGTAAATTTCATTTTTGGTCTACCTCTATCTCTTTTCCATTTTATTAATAATTTTTTCTTTCTTTTAATTTTCACTTTGTAGTCACACAGCCAGTAGTGCAAAACACCCCATCTGGTCATCCAGCCATGAGAGTGACTGCAACAGACTACAGACTTCTCGGGCCTGTCGCAGAATTGCATCAAGAAACCGGAACAGATAATTTTCACTGTCCAATTATTGTGGAAAGTGACCGTAAAGTGTTAAGCAGCCATCTTACCTTGATGCTCCAGAGCTTGATGGTCCAGTCAAAGGAGGAGGTGAGGAAGTAAGGGGAGAAGTCCACCTGCCCGGGCACGCAGTGGCTGTCGATGCCAGTGAGGGGACCCTGGTGGCCCTCGTACACCTCGTTGATGCCCGCTTTGCTGCAGGGGCAAGGACAGAATGATAAAAAAAAATAATTTTAAAGCATAGTTTCTTATCATTTTCATAAAAGTTGTTTGGTTGAGAAAAATTAAGAACATAAATACAATAAAGGTCACTACGTGCAAGGGAAAAGCAAGACAGACAAACAGACAGGAACAATAGAGGGGAAAGAACAAAAGTAGGCCCTATCAGTGGCACCCACTGACTACTCACCACAAGAATTGAACACACTAATAGACTCAAAAAAGATATTTTGGAAGCAGGTTTCATCTTTTGCTACACTACACGCTCTGTAAAAAGGATTAGAATGAAAGATGTTCCAGAAAAAGACACAAAAAGTATGCCACCTTGTAAAAAGTACTGTAAATGTTTGATGCTCCCCCTCCCCACCTTTTCAAATCAATACAATTTAGACCATTTGTGAGAAGAAGAAAAAAGAAGAAAAATACCAAAAAAATACAAAAACAGGGCGAGCAAAAGAGGAAGAGTCCCCCTCTCACCTCCCATGTCTGCAGGCCGAGTAGGTTGCACACTCCTCAGAGCCCACGATGAAGTTGTTGGCGTCCCCGGACAGAAAGCTGAAGCAGGTGGCAGCCACGGGTTTGTTCTGCCTGGACTGGAGCTCCATGCTGTCCTGTAAGGGGGGAAAAAAAGGATTATAAATGTTCCACATGTCCATTGACACAATTTAGATCAGGGTTGCCAGCCTAGGTGACATGGCAAATTGAAAATTTGGGTGGGTACTGGGGGATCACCCAGGTAGTGACAGTTGCTATTTCATGCCCTGCTTGGCAATACATGCAGGTGGAATGTATGAACACTTAGTTCAGTTTTAGTAAAAAATTTACGACACTTGCCACACAATAAGGTCATATAGGTGCCCAAGATGAGAGGTGTTACACGAGAGTAACAAACAGAAAATAGAAGGAGGAAATAGAAGGGCGACAGATGTTTGATAGGAAAGAAGGAGCAAACCACACCAGAGCACCCGCCAATCACCCACAAATTTTACCCACTTCAAGGTGCTGCTGGCTATAAAAAGGTTGACAAGCACTTTAAGCTGCAGGCTTCTTTGACACTGCCTGTCAGGGTGGGCTCACCAAGGTTGAATGGAATTGCTACTACATAAAAGCCTGGGTCTGTACTGGTTTTTTAAAGTTTTAGTAAGAGTTTTATGGCACTTGCAACACAATAAGGTAATACAAGTGCCGAAGATTAGAGGTGTTATAAGAGAGAAACAAACACAAAAAAAAAGGAGGGGAGATAAAGACGATAGATGTTCGATAGGAAAGAAGAAGCAAACCACACCAGAGCACCCGCCAACCACCCACCTTCTGTACTGTTCAAGACAACACTACAGCAAACATAACTATACAAATCACACTTATTTTCATTTTAAATTTGCATCACGTGGATGATGGTTACAACTGCACTAAATTCTTGCAGTAGTGTGTGGCTGTTACCTCTCTTCACTCACTCAACCCTTGGACTTCATTTCCAGGTTGTCAGCTCTCCCTAGAGATTTTTACCATTTTTTGAAAAATTGAAAAAAATACTAATACCAAAAAAAAACCCAACTAAATTTCAACATATCCTACCCAGATGTGGTACACATTGTATTCAAACCTTTATTTTGTGTATTGAAAATTTGAAGGCAAAATATGTCATAGTTTTTATGCAATACCGCGAGGAAAAAAATCTGTATATAGAGTCAAAAAATAAACAGAAAGCGAAAAAAGCAAGTGCGTTCAAATTCCGCACCCCCTAACATGGTTCACAACTATAGCTTTCTTTTTTTCTAAATTTGGGCTTGTACATAGTCATAGTCTGTTTCAAACGAAAAATGGTTACTCTTCCAATCAGGCTACAGTCTGCCTCAAGCAAAATTAGTGTTTTCGGTCATGAGAGCAAAATTTTCTATACTGACACTGTCAACGTTAGGGTAGGAGCGTTGTGCGTGCATACCGATATCATCGGCGCTAGGGCTGGGTGAGTTAACTCTCAGTACCCGTTGTGAAACATCTCATAACAGCAACCATTAAAAAAAAAGTAACTATACACTTATGAGTTTGTTTTTTTGTTTTAGTAGAGGTTTTACAGCGCTCGTAACAGCATAAGGTCATATGAGCGCCAAGGGGTGGATGTCAACAGAGAGGACCTGACAGAGAATCAGACTTATTCAGTTCACCTCTCTGGCTTCAACAGCACAAAGTCTGCCTCGACTATCAAGGCACCCCAGAAATAACGGGTCACAAGAGTGTGACAAACATACAAAAGAAGAAGAGGGAAATTGACAATAGTAAGGATTAGGAAAGAAAAAGCAGCGGTTCCCTGTTGCAGTTCAGGCACAGTTATGAGCATGACATTGATGAATCAGCCCATTTACAATTACAATTCTACTGTGCATAAGAACTCGAGACGTTAATGTCGTCCCCCCCCCCCCCCGGGAATGGCCTTAAGACACTTCAGTCAGTAGCACCGCCCCCGGGGTGTGTGTGTGTGTGTGTGTGTGTGTGTGTGTGTGTGTGTGTGTGTGTGTGTGTGTGTGTGTGGGTGTTCGTGCGCGCTTATTGAATTTACAAGCAAGCTGACAAATTGAAAAAGTAAAAGAAGTAAAGAATCAGCAGTTGTCTTAACCCCCAGTTAAGAAAAACTCCTCTTCACTATTATATCAATATTTTGTACAAGAGTATGTGGATAAAAAAGAAAAAAAGAAGATAAACACAGTATACAAACGTGGACACAGCAGGCAGAAGTCCTTGAACGCACAAAACAAAAGAACATGTACAAGCTACACAAAAAGGCAGGACATGGACATGGCAGACAAGCGTCCAGTACCTGTGGCTGAGAGAGCATGTCCAGGCTCCAGGAACAGACTTTCCCGTCAGTGGACACTGAGATGAGGTTGTGGGCGTTCTGGGTACCCACCACGTTCACGCAGTATACTGGGTGCTAGGGACACATGGGTAGGAGGGGGGAGGGGAGAGAAAGGGATGGGGGAGTGGGGAAGGGAAAGTTGTCACATGATGTGATATACAGGATGGTATAATAAAATTTGGATGAACAGAAAGCATGTGTTGGCGTGAGTGCCATCATATTTGTGAGTGTGTGTGGTATGTGGGGATGAGTGCTGGGTGTCTGTGTGTGTGAGAGGTTGAGGGGAGCGGGAAAGAGAAAGAGAGAAAGAGGGAGGGGGAGAGAGGGGGAGGGTGAGAGAGAGAGAGAGAGAGAGAGAGAGAGAGAGAGAGAGAGAGAGAGAGAGACAGAGAGACAGAGAGACAGAGAGAGAGAGAGAGAGAGAGAAAAATCAAAGTGGGTGGTCAAAGGAAAGGTAATGTAGTCATATAGATTTCAAGAGATGGAAAGAAGGGCAGATAGGACGGGAGGGAAGAAAGAAAAACAATGAAGAGGAAGGTAGAGATAAATGAAAAGGGAAAGAACAAGGAAGGGCGCCAAAAAGAAAGGCCGAGAAGGAGGGGAGGTAGGAAGACAAAACTGGAGCAGAAGAGGAAAAAACGAGAGAAAAGGGGAGGGGAAGGAAGGAAAACAATTACAGAGAGGGAGGAATGGAGAAAGAAGTGAACTGTGGTTGCCAGAAAAAAAGTCAGAAAAGCACTGCAGAATAAAGAAACATCAATAAAAGTATTAATGTTGGCGGCAAAAGAAACGCAAGCAGCCTCTCAAGGCAATCAAGAGTTAGTGGGGGCAGGTGTACAACTTACACTTCATGATGAGACCAACAGAGTAGTTTTAAGATTTTAAAGGAGGGAAGGAAGAAAATAAACCCAAAGTTCGGGAGACGAATAGAGAAAAAGAAAGACGAAGAGGAAGGTAAAGAGAGAGAAATCACAGTAGCATCTAAAAAAGAAAAGGCTTCCAGGAAAGAAGCATAGATAAGAGTGAAGTCAATAACACAGGGGGGGTGTGTGTGTGTGAGAGTGTGTGGTTATAAGAGTACAACTTACAGTGTGTGACGAGGCCGACAGAGGCGTACGCTGAACAGGAGTCCGCTTGAAGACCCGGTTGTCCCACAGCACGATGCGGCCGGAGTACGTCCCACCAATCACCAGGTTTGGGTGGAACTTGGCGAAACATGTCGACATCACTGACGACTGGAGGTGGTGATGGTAGGCAGGTGGGTGGGGGACGGGTATGAACAGTAAAATTAATTAAGAACAGCAGTTTACCAGCCAAAAAGAGAACATGATTATATTTTCTAACAGTTTTGCTTTCAGTAAAAAGAGAAGCAAGTCGACATCACAGACGACTGGAGAATGGGGAATCAGCAAAAGCCATTCTTGAAACAGCTTTGCCTTCCTGTTTATCTGGTAAAAGCATGATAAGAACAATATTTTGTTCTGTATGCTTCCCGGGAAGCTGAGAATGTTTCGGAGTGTTCTATGGTCTGCTGGGGTAATAATATAGTGTAAAGCGCATAGAGCCTGCTGTTGAGCGGGGATATGCGCTATACAAATGCTATTTATTATTATTATTATTTTTAACTGTAAGTAAATTAAATCTCCACATCTCCATTCACAGAATTTAGATAGTCTAGGAGGTGAGCTGCTTCCACCTTGCCAGTCTGGACCAACCTGGGCAGAATAGTATACAAATATTCCAGGAGATGTTGTTGTTGTTGGCGATCCAGTAGCATCTGAGCGTTAACTCTTCTGCATGATGCCATTCGGTAATAGTTGCATGTTTGTTCTAATTGTTGTCTTGAGGAGTAGAGGCAATTAGATGTGTGGGGTAGCTTGGGAAGAAAACATCCCCTTAAATCAGTTAGTTTTCTACAGAAGAACAGATGATGTTCCACTGTCTCCGAGGGGTAGTTCCAGGAGATCAAAAGAGATACTCCAGAAAAATTCTTTAAAGAACCTAACCACTGCACCACATAGATACTATTCCAATATCTTTGTGCTGACACAGCTAGCTATTCAGGTTTGAGGCTCAAAATGTAAAGATAACTAATTCCAAGGACTTATCCAAGAACCCAACAATCCCAAAACAGCAGCAGACCCCCTGTGACAGCAATAACCTCGAAGTCATGATATCACATTCTGAGGTGTGGCATCACGTGGTATTCCCCCTACCTGGCAGTGGAAAATGTACTCGGGCGCCATGTTCTTGTACTTGAGGTTCCAGATGAGAGCGACGCCATCAGGGTCGTTGGGGGCATCCTCGTTAGCATTGTACGAAGCCACCATCAACTCAGGGAACTGAAATAAAGGAAAAAAAAAAATGAGAACTTTGTTGGGATTTCTAAAAGGAAACACACCCATCTTCAACAATAACTAAATCTTTGCTTTTTTTCCTTCCCCTTTTGATGAGAAAGACATTTATCTTTACTGGTTTCAAACATTTTGCCAAAAATGTGCTGTAAAGCAATACCTTCACGTCCTCGATTCAGCTCTGTAATTAACGGGAGGAGCTACCCTTGAGGACCACTTTCTATGTTTGTTGCCCGAGATCAAATCTAAGTACACATATAATTTAGACATAGTAAAATCTCTTGATACGTAATTTTATTTTGGCATAGCTACAACGGTTGCTATGGAAACGGCCGCCATCTTGAAATTAAACAATGAATTTGAAATCCCTAAGGCTTTCTTATTTACAGACCAAATTTGACCAAATTTGGTGAGAGTATACCTGAACCAAACCCTATCAGAGTAACAGCAAGTTTTTTTCAATACGTGCATAAGAAAAAAAATTATGAGAATTTTCCCAAAGTATAAAAAAACTTTTTCCAAATTTAGGTTGCGTAATCGCTTGCCAAAGGAAAAGTGTTACTTGTTTCGCAAATATCTTTCTGTTACATTGATGGCAGCCTTGCCAACTATGTTTCCTGAAAGTTTCAAGTCAAAAGGATAAAAACTAAGGAAGGAGTAGGGAAAAAACTGCACAAAAAATACATTTTGCAAAAACCGACAATAATTGTGAAAATTCACTATATATCCATCCTCATGTTTTTAAAGGCAAATTACCTGTAGAATAAAGTCTTTCTCAATTGAATCCATGCTATTTTTAGACAAAAAACTGGTGGATCTTCAAAAATCAGCCAACATAAAATGTGCATAGCCTGACCCAAAAACTGCAAAATCAAGGGTCGCTCCTCCCCTTAAAAGTACACAACTGGTGAATCAAACAAATAGCTTTTTTCTCAAAGTTTTAAACCCTTTGAGTACAGAAAACCTTTTAGTCACAAAGCACCTCAAATGCACATAACCAGTTGTGGTCAGTCCAGCAAACAAGTACCTGTGGTGACCAGTCCATGCTGGTGATGATGCGACGTCTGGACCACCTCTCATCGTAAAACTCCTGCTGAAGCTTCAGCTTCTCGCCGGCCAGGAGGTCACTGGGGATAAGCATGTGTTCAACAAACTTGAAGCTTTAAAATAAAAAAACAGGAAGACCTTGTCTTATGTCCTCATTGATACAATTTGCCTTGCACCCCTACCCCCCGGAAATAAAGGCGTGAAATTTTGTTTCAGAATAGGACACATGCATGTTCATTTGTCACTTCACTTGAAAAATTATTGACTTTCCAAAAATGTTAATTCATTACAAAATTTAACTTTTTTTGCAAAAAGTGTCTCATTTGGACCTCAAAGGTGTGAAAAGTAAGAGACATTGTGACAGAAAGTCACTTCTATTACAAGACACTGGGCAAAAAATCTATGTCGGGAAAGAGTACATCGACTTGAATCTCTCTACATCTTCATGAAATACAAATTCACATCTTGTCATCTCAAACACACAAAGACAGTAGATTTTTAAAAAATATTCTACCACAAGCTTCCAACCTGGTTAAATAGACTGACTTACAGATTTACAAAGTTTCACAATGATTTTCTCTAACTTTTTAACCTTCAAAGCACTATGATCCCAACCGCTATTTTTTGGTCACATGTGTCTTTTTCCTGCCAGTGAACATGTCAACAAAAACTCTCACCAATCACCCACTCTTTTTCATGATAAACAACTGGGAAGCAAACCCATTTCACAGGAATAATTTTAAAAAACTAACGAGGGAATCAACATAGCTGCCACTCAGAAATTTTTAAAAAGGAGGAAATTCACGCGAAAGCGTACGCGCGCTCTCCGAAACCAGTGAAATCCAGAAGCAATATATACTGGAAAATCTAGCCTACGGTTTTGGAAGGGAAAACTGTCATATTGTTAACCATAGGCAACTGAATTAAAATGTATTTGAAAAAAACAACAACAAAAAAAACAACATAAAGGCAGTAAGTTGACTAACAAGAATTCGAGTCAATTTGACACAGTTTGGACTTGGTGACTAAAAATCTAGTGTTTTTTGCCAGCTGGTGTCTCATAAAAAGATTTCTTTCACTTTAAACGTGTACATACATAGACGTAGAGCAGTATCGGATCAAGGATACACACACTCCTGTACAATTGCGGTCCCGTTTGCACTTAGTGCCCCTGTAGTGTGTTTCTTATTTAGAGATAAACTGAATTAAAATTATAGCCTAGGCTACCTAATCTAGATCTAGATATATCTAAATATGTGAGGCGTGCTGACAAAATGAGTTACTTGTCGGATTTTAGCTCTATGGAAATTAATACATCTACTTTAGAGGTGGAGTTTGTACAACTTGTGAGTAAGGAATGATAAAAGACACGGTAGACTTGAACAAAATGGCATTGATTAAAAATCTGTAAATCTGACCAGTGTCGATTTTTGGCTTATATCTCCGTTCTTGGATTGCGAGAAGTAACTCATTTTATCAGCACGCCTCACATATGTGTAGATCTAGATTATATCTAGAGATAGATTTTCTAGCTCTAAATCTAGATTCACTTCCGCAGCAGCCACAATAGCCGTCATGTAAACAAACGGGACCGCAATTGTACAGGACTGTAACAGGAGTGCCGCGGGCCGCGATTTCTTTCGCAAAAAACAGCTAGTTCAATTTTCTAATGAACTTTTCAAGTCGCACACCGGCTGCTTCTTTCTCATTCCAGCTCCTTTTATTTTTGCATTCTGAATCAATTTATCTCGAATTTCCGCCAATTTCAATGACAACTCGGCGCGCTAACGTCCCGATGCCCGATCGACACTGTGTTGCTCCACAACAATAAACAATGTGAAACTAGCGCTGGGCCTAGAAGAACAGAAGTAGAAAGCTACGGGCGGACATGCACAGACCGCGTTTTCGTCTCTCTCCCGGTTCAGTGTTTTCCGCGTGAAAAAAAAGAATGAAATTTGCGACCAAGAGCGGTCCAGCGGAGGAAGGAGGAAAGTTGCGGGGAAAGCTAGATGTAGCGGAGTTTCCGCTATTTAGAGGGAAAGTGGCAGCTATTAAATCAATTACAGGCTCAAAAGAGAAGCTAACCAATTTCTCGAAACCCTCATCCCGAAAAGTGACACACTTGCTCATGTTTACAAACCAAGAAGCGGAATCATCCTAAGAGACTCCTAAACCAACAAGTAATAATAATAATAATATAATAATAATATAATAATAGATAGCATTTGTATAGCGCATATCCCCGCTCAACAGCAGGCTCTATGCGCTTTACCCTATATTATTACTCCAGCAGACCGTAGAACACTCTGAAACATTCTCAGCTTCCCGGGAAGCATACAGTGCAAGCAGCTGATTAAGCGCTCAAACACAAACAAACTGACAAGATCTTTCGCTGTCTATAGTCGGGTACCCATTCCCACCTGGGTGAAGTGAGGAAAATTCGTGTAAAGTGCCTTTACACCCTTCCACACTTCCCAAACTACTAGAAGCTAACTCATCCCACAACAGCCCTGCACTGGTTGACTCACTCGTCTTTCCCGTCGGTGTCGGCGCCGCTGTAGTCTGTGGTCATGGACGAGTCCTTGGTGGCCAGCATCCTCTGCATGACCCGTGTGGCTCGCGACATGCTCAGCTGGAAGTCCTCCGACATCATGATCTGCTTCTTCTCCTCCTCGCTCAGCTCCGGAACTAGGGAGGGGAGTTTTAGTTTTAGTAAGAGTATTACGGCACTTGTAACACAATAAGGTCATATTAGTGCTGAAGATTAGGTGTTACAAGAGAGTAGCAAACATAAAAAAAAGGAGGAGAGATAAAAACGATAGTCGTTTCATAGGAAAGAAGGAGCAAAGCACACCAACGCACCCACCAACCACCAACTTAGTCTTTGACTACAGTCTTCTGCAATATAGGACAAGTCTACTAACGTGGGAGCCAGTGGAGAACACGAGAGGATAAGAACCAGCACAGTTTTGAGTCAAGATACAACAGTCTGGACTACTTATTTGAGCTTTACTGCACCTGCAACACAAATAGGTATAATGTAAGTGCTGAACACTAAGCTTGCAAAATGCAATTTTTCACCTTTGGCGCCGAATTTTCTTATTTGCTAAATTGAAAGCCTGATCAGGTACCCTACTTGTGTGAAAGAATCTAAGAGAAACTGAGACTAGTTTTTTAATAAATTAAAATTTTGAAAGAACACCCTTTTTAAGCTGTTATGATGACAAAGAGGGGGGCGGTGGTGGAGCGGTTAGTGCTCTCGTATCTGAAGCGGAAAGTGGAGGTCCGAGCCTCGGTTCGGACACGGATTTCTTTTCGACCCCTCCTGTCCACTAAGTGGTAATGGGTATCTGACTTCGAGTTGGGAAAGTAAAGGTAAAGTCGGAAGGTACTGGCCACCCTACCACAATATGCCGAAGGCGCCTGAAGTTGTCTCACTAACAAGGCAATCCCCAATGTCCGTATCGGATGCGGGAACAACTTTAGTTTTTATGATGACAAAAAGCCTCTTTATCTCCAAACTGCAGTGAATAAAAAAGCTTTCGGTAGATCAGAGGTGTTACTTCTAAAGTAAAAAGTACAGAGAAAAGAAGGAAGAGAGATAAGGGCAAAGGATGTTGGATAGGAAAAAAAGGAGAAAAACCACACCAGAGTACCTGCCATTCACTCACATGGGTTTTTAAAAAGAAGTTTGTGTTTATTCAAAAGTGCACATAAAACATCATTCACATCAAGGGATAGAGGGAGGGAGGGGGGTGGAGGGGGGGAAGAGAGAGAGAGAGAGAGAGAGAGAGAGAGAGAGAGAGAGAGAGAGAGAGACAGGAAAGAGAAAGCTCAAAGACAGAAAGAAAGAAAAAGACTGAGATAGGAGAGAGAAAGAGTGAGGGACGTCAAAAGAGATAAAGAGACAGAGATTTCAATAAAACAGAGACATCAAGAGATAGAGAGAGACAGAAAGATCAACCTGCACTCACTTTTGGCGGGCTCCTGTTTGGTCTCCTCCTCCGACACGGCCGGAGGCACCATCTCCACGTGTGGCATGCGGTGTGGGTGAGCGGTGTCCGCGCTCACGTCCAGCGAGTCCGTGTCGTCATCTGTGTGGTCCGCGTTGTCATAAACCAAAACTGAGATGTTAATAATTTCCCGGGGGCTGCCCAAATATTGTGTGGAAGGTGGCAGGCAACATGGAAAAAGTTTTCATCAAACAAGCAAGATAGCGTAATGACCCAAAATAGCTCACTTAATGACATACCCCCCCCCCCCCACCCCCAAAGAAGCCATACATCCTTTTTTCACAGTTTGAAAGCATGACCAATGTGAGATGGAAAATGTTTAAAATGTCCAATCCAACCTAGACCATTTAGGAGAAGGGCTGCTTCCAACTTGTCAGTCAGGGTCAGCCTTGATTGAGAGGGATATAGGAAACAATAGACAGAGGAAGATATTTGACAAAACATCTTCCCCATATAGAAACTGAACCTACGTCTTCTGCTTGCACCACAGATGCCAGTAGGAAATATTTATTTATAATAACTGAAAATAGCTGTGCCAAATAGTCCGTTAAGCCATACACCCTCTGTCCAGTAAAACGACCCACTTACAAAGTGAGAACAGCACTTTTACCTACAAAGTGTAATATCTTCATGCGTTAAAGGTAAAATCTATTTTTAACGCAATTGTAAATCTGAGTTTTGTCCATTTTATCAGTTAAGTGTTATCTCATTTACAGAAGCCGCAGCTTTTCACGACATTATCTTGTTTCAGCTTGAGGCAAGAGGCCGGAAGATAAAACAAAACTAGTAAGGATCTGAGCTAATGATCAGCATAAGGGTTGGACCCATAAAAATGACTGGAATGGGAGGAAAGACTGAGCAATGGTTAAAAAACTACTGAACACGATAATGGTCAAAAATCCCAATCCTGAAGTCAAGAAGGGCAATTGCAACCAGAAAAGAAGTAGAAGCCAAATACTCCAGGGTGCTATAAATCATCAACTGTGAATGCTCTTAGTAAATGAATGGTTTCTCAGCATCACTTTCAGAATTTTATAACTCCGAAAATTACGAAGTATAAAAGATACATTGTTGGTTTCAGAGCATAAGAAACATTTAATTAACCCTTTACATGGAGAATCTCCTTAACTCAATAACCTCCACCATACAAAACCCACTGACATTTTTTAATAAGGACTGAACTTCCTCAAATGTAAAATTTCATCAAATTTACAAGATATATTGTTGGTACCCAACAATGAAAACAGCTAGGTACATACATTGCGTTAACCGTTAACATTTTTTTTTGGTAAACTTAATAATCAACAAATTCAGGCTTCTTTACTTCAAATCAGACTTTTTAACCTCAATTATAATATAATAAATCAAATTCTGCTTGATAACATAGTGTTAACTGATACCTGTAATCCCTCCCCCTTCACCTATCCCAGGCCGCTTCAGAAATACTTCATTCTTAAAATCTGCCATGACATGAAATCAGTGCCCATCAAAAAGATAGAAACGATCCCCTTTCTCAAGGCTTTTATTGACAGAAGAAAAACTGTTACTGAACAAGTTGACTTCAAGCCTCTGTCTACACATTTCATTCATTAAATAGAGCTAGAAGGCCCTTGATCCTTGGAAATAGCCTTCAATAAAAATAAAAGCAAAGAAAAACTCAGCCCTAAAGAGAAAACGGGACTCAAACCCAGATCTTCTACATGACTATAAATTCTCTTCAACAATTCACCAGACAAGATAGTTCCAGACAGTTTAAAGACATTTAAAGACACGTTAATAGGGCCAAGTCCTGTCTCCCATTCCTTCCACTTTCTCCTACAAACTGGAATTTTACAGCTCCAATTTTGAAGAGCATAAGAAGAAAAAGCTAAAATGGGACAGTAAATTTTCTGTATACTGTGTTGTCATTGTAAGTCATAAGTACTTAAGCAGACATTAAAATGGAACACAACTTAAAATACCATCCTGGAATCAGAAACATCACGAGTCATTAGCCAATTAGGAATTAGGACTTCTTATAAGGATCATTAAACAAATTTCATGCACGATTAGACAAAAGATAATACGCATTCACATTGACATGGTCAAAGAAATCAGTAAACAATTATACATAAAATGAAATGCTGACTTTTGACGAAATAAAAACAAACAAATCAAAATGATCAAATGAGAGCAAATAAAGAAACAAGAGGAAAGAAATAAGGAGTTAAGTAGTGCCAGTGAAGGTTAGTGAGAGCTCAGAGGGCAATTGTCACGAATACGACATGTACTAATGTACCTCCTCTGTTACTGGAAATAACAAATTCAGAGACAGATTCTAACTTTATGACAAAGCATTTCTGAAAATTTCAAACTATTGATATTATACTGTCACTAGAATTGTAGCATAATTACATTAAAAGAATATTATTTAACGTTTTTTTTAAAAATCACCCCCCCCCCCCCCCCCCCCCAAAAAAAAAAAGAATTAAAGACCGGCTTGCAGGCAGCCACATTTGCAAACACTCACTCACTCACTCAGATTGTACTTAATTGTGGCTTCAGTTGTTCACACTTGATTGATAACTGCATAGCAAATAGAAACTAACAATGATCTGCAAAACTTAATTTGATACTCTTCACATAAGAACCCCCCCGCCCCCCCTTTCCCCCACTGTTTTAGCGTAAAAATATATTTCACATTATTTCTTAAAGATGAATCCTACACAAAACATGGAATTAAATCTGGATACTTTAATCTTCTCCAACAGCCTTTTGAGGACTTTAAAAAAAACAATAACTAAATCAAGAAGCATTAAAGTCCTCTAGAAACACTTTAACAAATTAACTAACCAATCAGTTTAGACTTAATAAAACAATATCCACCAATAGACAAGGTGCAAATAGCCTAAGTGCAAATTTCCCAGTAAACTCCCTTACAATCAAGCCATTGTGTATTCAAACAGCGATTCAAAGCAGCACAAACACACCAGCCAGCCAACTGACTACATCTACTTTTGCAATGACATGTCTACTAGTAGAACCATCTGCCTCATCAAGCCATGCAAACGGCAAAGTTCAACAGAGTAACAAACACACACAGCAGAAAATAAAGACTAGAAAGAGAAAGAGAACTGATTATTGAATCTGTTTCTCTTTCCCTCATAAGTTTCAATTGTAATGGGTTGAACTAGTTACGGTCATTTCAGTTTGATTTTCTAAAGTGACGAAGAGAAACTAATCAATGCATTTAATTTTCTCCGGCAATTGTATTTTGGTTATTTGTGACTCCTCTTGGCTCTCACTTCCTGTTTAAAGCTACACATATTTGCATACATTTTATCAAAACATACAACAGAAGTGACTTATAAAACAACAATTAGTTCCAACAGCAAAACTTCAAACGAACATCCTCAGACACAGTCTTTGGCCAACGCGAGACAATAATAAGCCATGAAGAGATAGCTGCACATAAATATCTATAAATAGACATGGTGTAAACATAAGGCATAACCAACTAAAGACAGCAGGTGATAGAAACCAGAACGGCGGCAAAACAACTGACATCTGCCCTGCGTCACTTTCTTCCTTTGAAACCGGTCACATGAAAATCTTAAACATGACACAGTAGTTGCTGTTGTGGTTGTAGCTGCTGTTGATACTCCAGTACCCTTCGTGCTCATGCCTTTTTGCCCAGACAAATGATGTAGACGTAGAATATCTCTACAAGCTGTCCTTTAGAGCTGTACAGGATTTTCACTATGGCTAAAATAAGAGCCAGCTATGTTTTTAAAAAAATACAAATATACAAAAGGTGACTTCTTGGTTCAGATATGATATCAGCAGTGCGAAAATATGTCAGAATCCGAGATGTGCAGAAAGGAATAAACAAAATTGAAATAGTATGTGTACAAGCCTTGTTACGGACACTTGTCGATTTTGAAAAACCATTTTATCTCCCCACAGAGAAAAAAAAAATTAATTGCATGTAACGTAAGGAAAGTTTTTCAGTCCTAACACACTGTCTTTATAAATGCACCATCTTGCACTGTTAGAAAAAAAAATTAACAAAACGAAAAAGAAAAAAACAACAAACAGAATTAAAGAAAGAAAAATAGGACTCAAGTTATGTCATTCGGAGCAGGGACATTTGCATGAAGAGAGGTACATTCATACTGAGCTCATGCAAGCAGAGTCAAACCAGCAAACACCAAAGAGCAGTGAGTCTCTGAACATTGAAAGAAGCTGACCTACTCTAGATTGAGCCAAGACAAGCACATTATCACAATAAAGGCCTTTTAGTGCAGGGGAAAAAACAGACATAGGGAAACAAAAGAACTAAGATCTGCTTGTGGCACCCTCCAACTGTTGACCTATTAAAACTGCACTAAAATTTATTTGCTTTTTTAACTTACGAAATAATGAAGGTAATTTTAAAGTCCAGATTCAAGATCCGTAAATCCTAAAGTACTTTCAGTCTGTGTTTTGTTGGAGCAGAATGAACATTTCTATATTTCGTATAAAGTCTTCCATTATATATCCTAAGGCTCCTTTAAAATAGTGGCCCAAGAATTCAAAAATATGTTTTTAAAATCCCATTGGCTTCCATCTTTATTAAAGGCTTCAACAGTATTTTTCTTAAACATATAAAAATACTGCATCTACTAAAGACAAAATATTTAATCCAGGTAGGTGCGGTCATCCAGACTCCTATCTTTATCAGGTGCCAGGACTCCCATGAAATTCTTACGGCTTAAGACATGCCAGCTTCAGAATGAAATCATACATGTTTCAGCTCACATCATATATGACCTACTAAAACTTCTCATCTGTATGTGTACCACTTGACACCAACATTTTCTTTTACTAAGAACAAGTAGACATATCTTCAGGGTTGCCAGTGGCAGACAACCATTCCCAGGCGCTACAAGAGAGTACAAATAAAGACTTTCTTGGTTTTTGTCCATTGTGTCCGCATGCATGACCAGAGGGCAGAATACAATAGGTGAACAATAAGGGAGTGCACAGAGAACTCATTGCTAGCTACAATAACACTGTAGAAATTTACTTCAATCATCAAGACAATTATTGAAAAAATAATACAACTTTGTTGACCGACAAAGGTTTATTTCCCCCCCTTCTGAAAATATTTCTTTCCTCTTTTCTCTTTCCACTTTTCCAAATACCAGAGGCCTTAGAGTGGGAGTCTGTAATTTCTAAAGTGCTAATGTTAGATTAGGCGATGAAAATGTTATTTGTGGGCTGCTCTAACCCGGCCTGTCAGTTTCCGTACCTAATTCAAACACTGACCTATTCCTAATACCATAAATTCGACCTTTATATCTGATCCAAGCCTTAAAAAGTAACTTTTGCTCGGTACAACATACATTGAAGTCTTATAAATGCCTTCGATCTTCTTCCCATTTTGCCATCTTGTCACTCCCCCTGCTGACTGTTTCTCCTGAGTCCCGAAAGAAAATTTTCCATTTTCATTTCTTTAAAAAGGCCTCACTTACTCCCAGTACAAAAGAGATCTGACTTTTTTTCAACCTAATACAGCTATTTGCTGCTGTACTTCTTTTCAACATTACATATGCAGAAGAAAGTTTGATTAAAAAAACGCCAAACATGACTTAACAGTTTTCATAAAATACTTTTGTAATATTTAAAAAAGTGAATTTTCGAAAAGACGAGTGAGACGGTGAAAGATGATTTAAAAAACAAACAAACAACAAACCCGTAAATCTCTGAACAGTCTGCTGAGCTAGCACAGCGTACAATATAGACAACAAAGCAAGCAAGAATCACGACAGCCAAGTCATCATCATCTCAGACCAACTTCAAAGTCCAGTGAAATATTTCGTCTTGAATAAAGAAATAAGAAAACGAACCAAAAACAAAACCAAAACAAAGAAGAAATTATCAAAGCAGCAAGGACCAAAACACAAACTAATGACTAAAAGAGTAATTGAGATTGAGATACAAAGTGTGTGGTGGGGAACGGGCAGAAGAGGAGGATTTAAAAAAAAAAAAAAAAAAAAAAACCACAACAAAGCGACCATTCACCATACCTTCGTCCATATCATCAAAAAACTCATCGTCCCACTCCAAATGGGGGTGAATGAACTTAGGGGAGCCGTGGCCTAGACCCGAGCCAAAGAGAGGGGAGCCAGAGGAGGAAACATGGCGGTGAGAGTCAGTCAGTGAACGGTGACCAGTCATGGGGGAGGGGGCCACACGCCACTAACTAGCATTTATAAGGCACTGCACACACCTCTCACAAAAAAAAAAAGAAGCCTGACCAATCCACCCACCAAAACACATTTACTCTCATTCGATTTAAATTTCCTTACCGCAGTCACAAAACACATTAACCTTTATTTTGCATGCATTTTTTAAAAACCCAATTTTCAAAACACATTAATATTTATTTTATAAATAGTCCGAACTAATTCCATGGCAATTGTAGTTTGACAGCATTACTACTATATTTGTACATACATAAACACCAGAAACCTCAGAGACAATTCATATTTCCTATTTTCAATTTTGACTACCAAGCTACACTTCACACTTACATCTATAGGAATTTGATACCATGAAAATAAGCACAGAAAAACTACTCATTTTACAAATCCTTTAAAAATGCTATCCATTTTTTAAAATTCTAAAATTCCAAACCCAAATTGTGCATTGTCCAAATAAATAATTTGCTGAAATCCAGCATGAACAAAGAAACAACAAATCCTATCTCTGATTTTGACAAACAACACCAAATGTTGACTTCCTGGATATACATAGGACAAATCTGATGTGGGGGCATGCTCAGGTTCTGATAACAGTTTACAAGTACCCATTTTGAACTCCTAAAAATAAATCTACCAGTACCAACAAAGTCTCTTTGTCATCGTACAATATAGAAGTCAGACCTGCCAAACCCATCATGGACGGAATGTCAAAGAAAAAAAATACATTTGGAAAATAATTGAAATTTCAGTGGGAAAAAAGCAAAAATGATCTGAGAACAGTGAACTTCCCGCTTGAATGTACAGTGACATTTCAAAGTTCCCTGTGAATATTCCATTAAGCCGACTGTTTTCCGCCCAAACCATGATGAACAAATGAAAAATATACATAAAAAGACAAAAACGAAAATTTGTGTGTGTTTTTGGGTGGGCTCACAAGAAACGAGACAGAAAAAGAAATAAGAGCTTTAGACAAAGCATATATAGGGTTGAACTGAGAAGAGTCTTGGGGGGGAAAAAAGGATCTGAATTTATTGTGATTGTGGCCATTTGGCAGGTCTGCATGTAAACATTTCCGACTTTTGACTTTCAAATACTGGACAGGGAAATCGGGAAAACTTGTAATACCCATTCCTAGCTCAAACGTCAACTTCTCCCCCCCCCCCCCTTATATTTTGAAAGTTACCACAGGGTCATAGATCAAAGACCACCTTTTAATACCAAATGCACCGTCAAAGGTCACCCCCCAAAGGTATTTCAATGTCAAAGGTCGACCAGAGCCCGAACAAATTCAAAGGTGAATTCCCTTTAGTTTAGAGAACTGTTAGAATAAGAAAAAGTGTCAACCTCCTTTTAGTTCTCAGAGCTATTTTGAGTCGAGTCAACCTCTCTAGGTTCTGAGAGCTATTTCAAGGTGAAAGGCCAACAACCCCCGGCTCCACCTACCAATAACTGACACACCGTGACGAGGACTGCTCGCGCCAGACGTGGACAGATAGTCCGAAAGGTCATCTAGAGAAGCACACACAAAATAAAGACACCCTCTTAGTAGTGACAGCAACGGATGTAGAAAAGAGTAACCGTCAACTTTGTAATTCCTCCCTCTTTTTCTGAGAGCACGAAACAATAGTAATTGCACATTTCTTTGTATCAAAATTCTGGTCAAAAGTTGCAGCCCAGTACAGGTATACCTTCAACCCACAGCTATTGTTCCAGTAACAAACTATATTTCAACCTCTTTTCTTTTCACTTAAATTTGTTCTCATTTAACAGGAAAAAATTATTACCTATGACATAAAAAAAACAACAACAATCAAACTACTGTTATTTTTTACTCTCCAAAACTTAGTTCTTTGCTGAAAAGTCTTTCGCAATTTATGATTTTATGTTCCATTTTTTAAAAACAGATAAAACTGAGTTTTTGAGTTCTGTACTACATTTTTCAATAAGAGAACACTATATGATCATACAAAGCAAACATTATAACAAAAAAGCAAATGCTGAATAAGTGTCTGCTTCTACTGAGAACAATGTCGCGTCTTTTCGTCAATGGGATGCAGCAATGATGATTTTTTTATATACAGCCAAAAAAACAAAACAAAAAAACTCAGCTGTGAGAAAGAAGGCAACCCATCTATTTCTAGCTCTCTAGTTCACAAACGACAGCGCACAGACAGGAGCTCCTTGAAGGCCAACCAAAAACACAACTAACAACGACAAGTGCAGCAGAGAATTTCACACATCGCGAGCACACGCACACACACAAACACAACACAAGAAATAGCGCAGTAAAACATCTAAGGTGAGTAGATTGTTGGTGATCATAAAATTGTACAAGAAAACAAGCGAGATGGAACAAAAATAAAAACCGAAAATCCAACAAAAAGGAAGAAAAGAATAAACCACTAGGTGTGCATCATTTACATCAACCTAAGAATAAAAAAAAGATACCAAAGATGTATAGTTGCAGCTTTAACTTGTTTTCGTTTTCCTACTTATTTTCACTTTGCATCCTATTTCTGAAAACCACCAACCCCCCCACCCCCCCCCCCCCCAACTTCAAAATAATTTTTTTTCCTAAGCCAAAGACACTGCGCAGTGCACATGTACAGGTAATTTTCTAGTAAACATTATCCGAGCAAGATGGTGCATTTATACAGAAAAAAAGAGACACATATATTCTCTGGTGTAAACAACATGGCTTAAGACATAAATAATCTGTGGGGTACACTGTTCCTGATCACTACACAAGATAAAAAGAAAAGAACAAACAATTTTTACGAAAGTTGAACTATGTTTTGCTGTGTTCAATGAAATAATAAAACCCTAAATCATTCAGCATTTCCAAGACGGCACTGAAACCACAAAAATCTTGCAATGACATGACATCTAATGCAAAAAAGATATTAACAACATCCAAAAACCACAAGACTCAAATGAAAAACCAAATTTTGTCAAAAGGAGCAAATAAAACGTAGCCCACAAGACAGAAAATGCCAGCTGGACACAGGAACACCCCCAGAGTGCAAGAAATGAGATGTCCCCCACAGAGCAAAGCACCAACTTACCGTAATAATCCCAGGGACCGCGGCCTTTAGGGTAAGAGTGCATGAACAGAATAACAAAACGTTATGCAGCAAACAAACATTCCACACAGAACTAAATAAACTGATCTTAAGAACTCCAGCAAAATGACAAAAGTATAATATATATCTGGAAACTGAAACCACACTTGCAGTGCTACTGGCTCTTTCCAGGATTAGCTGGAAAAACTCAATTAAAAAGAAAATACAAATTAAAAAACTGTGCACTACAAATAATAATAATTTAGAAAAAATAATGGGTAGGAAATTGCATTCATACTTAAGTAACAGCAAAGAGAACGACAATAAATATGTTTGTACTCTGCAAATAGCAAGACTTTAAAATAAAATCTCTATAAAACTGGAAGACCAGCACATGCGACTTATCTCTTTCCAGAATAAATACACGCCAGGTACAAATCCATCCCCTTTTCCTAAAAACTATCAAGGAAGGAACCAAAACACTGATGCATGAGAAAGCAACCACAGAAGCAATTTAGTGAGCAAAAGGAGGGGAAAAATGTTATGCCCCTCATCTTAAAACGAACTAACACATACAGTCTTTGATTTTTTAAAACAAATCAGTCTTCAGTAAGGAACCCCACTTGTTCTTGAAAGTTTTTAACTGTGATTATTGATTACTTTTCCTTTTGCATTTTTAATTTTCATGTAGAGGCTTGTCTACAACCTGAAACCAGGTGACAGTTTTAAATTAGCAAGGACTACACTGAAAGAAAACTTAACGATAAAGTAGCACTGTACTCAACATTTATCGTAATATCATCCCAATTGAAAGTCGTTGAACCAAAACTTTACAAACTGAAAATGTTGTCTTGTCTAAGGGTCAACACATTTATCCTTTATTTCTTTGAAAACACAACACAACAGACACTTAAGAAAAATATTATAAAACCAAGTGACAAACAACACTGAAATCGTTTTGGTTTTTTTTTGAGTCAACGGAAAAAGACCCTCCGTTCTCAACGACACATACTCATATCAAGATTTCAATACCTCGCAAAGACAGAGAGGGAATCCACTTTTAGAAAACCTGCTATAACCCAACATGCACTACGCTAGGTGGGTGGGGAGGGAGGGGGTGGGGGGGCTCCCACAGGGTAGGTGGGGAGGGAGGGGGAGGGGGTGGGGGACTCCCACAGGGTGGGTGAGGAGGGAGGGGGAGGGGGTGGGGGACTCCCACAGGGCAAGTGGTGAGACAACACAGGTCATACTTCCAGCAATACCAACAGGACTTAGCCAAAGGCGTGGTAGCAACCTGCAGGCACAACACATCTTGTCCTTGGTTTCAATGCTATTGTTCACCCTGTAACATTGGTCTTTTCTTAAGATAAATGATCTGCTTCAGTTTAAAATTGATCATTTTCCCTCCATAAAAACAAGATTAAGTTGTTTTAAATGGCTGTACCCTGTAAGTTCTGGAGCTACCCCCCCCCCCTCCAAATTTGCTTTCAAACAAAAATATGCACTGAATAACTCAAATTTATTGGATTGTGACCCTCATCCCATCACACCAATTGATCTATATGTCTCTTCTTCTACATCTTTCTTCTCTCTAATCCTCCATCTATTTCATGTTAATATTTGTCAAATTTACAGAGAAATACAGTCGAACCCATTCTAGAAGTCACTTATCATAGAAAATTACTTGTACAAATGACCACTTCCCACTGCATTTTTTTCTACATTACAAACACACAGGTTGTTCAGTGCAGAGAAAAAGCAAGTAGGACAGATAGAAACAACAGAGTGACCATGAAGAGACGGAGCCACCCTCTGGCCCCACCAGCCATAAACCATCCACGACATGCAGCAAGCATTGTGACTTCATGAATTCAGACAAAAAGACAGCTGTGGCAAAAATGACGATTTCTGACCAAATGTAAAATGTGAGGATGATTCAACAAAGAAGTGTAGACCCACAACTGACAACCGTCCAGCAACCACTGAAAATCAAGGAGTCCATCCCCTCTCCAATAAGTACATGAAGCAAACTTTTGAGAAAGGCAGAACAGAGAGGGAGTCAAAGACGTGCGGAAAGCAGAAAGTGGGGGAGGTGGGGTCTGAGGGAAGCAGTGCTACAACTAATATGTGGCAATGCGTTCAATCAGTTATTAAAACTGTGCAACCAAAAGATGTTTTCCCTATTTACAACTTTTAAAGGGCCATTAGAGACAAACAGAAAGTGTAATCAATTAAACCAGTGCTGCATAAAGAAACACAAATATACATTGACACAGAACGCTTCCTGAAGAATCAAAAAATAAAAGTCAAAAAACAAATATTTATACTCATGCAACAATACACAAATGAGAAATAAATTTTCCAGAATAAGAGCAATATCAAGGCCTCCCCCCCCCCCCCTGAAATTTTGGAATTTAGGTTGAGCGTACTGTAAATTGAACATTAACAAACTCATTGTAAAAGCATACTTCAAAACCGTGACGGAAATACAAGTACAGCTTTTAAAAAGCTTACTTTATTCCTGACATTCAAAAGGTGATTAAAATACCTATGTCTGAATAGTTTTGTTAAAGCTGAGCTGCAACAACACATGTTAAAAAGTAAAGGGTAAAAATTATACATTCTAAAACATAAATGAATAACGAAAGACATTGATAAAAAAAATTAACTGAAAAGGGAACCCAAGAAAGCAAAATAAACACAATGATGAGACAAGGAGCCAGGGCAGCACAGCATGAACACAAACATGATGTTGTAATGAGCAAAGTCTAAGTCAGTATAGGTGAGTGAGAGAGAGAGAACGAGAGAGTGTGTGAGAATTGTGGACAGGTTAAGGTGTATACACACAATGTCACTTGTCAAAGTCAAGGGTCCTGTCTGGATGTCGTGCAACAACAAACCTTACAGGGAGCCTCAAAGAAAAGTCACACCGAACTTATTGGCTAATTCACTATGGACTAAAAACCTAAAATTAATTTGCTAAAAACTCTCGGGAGGTAAATAGATGGAGAATTTCGAAGTAAAATTACTGGGAATTACGGAATGATTTCAGAAGGAGCTCCAAACTACATTTACAGATATCTTTAAAGCGAAGTTACATTGAATTTCAAAGTAAATTCACTTCAGACTATAGAAGATAATTGTCACGACGCAGAAAATCAGGCGCTTATCAATTTTTTGGCATATGGAATTATTGGTATCACCTTAAAGCTTGTTCATTTACCTTGATTTTGATTTTTTTAAAATACCCATCTATCTTAAGTAAGAGTACAGATATTTACGATGGAAGGAGGTGGGGAAGCCTGGTTTCAGAATTAAAATCAGCAAGAAAATAGCCGCCACAGTTTGTTGATCTCTATAGCCTAAGAGTCTTTGGAAATCGTAAATTTACATTTTCGGTGCCTAAGTTCAACATTTTTCAGTAAAATCCACAAAAAAATGTGTCTTTAATTAGACATTACAAGTGTTGAGCCAAAAAATAACTTTGATTAAAATGGCAAAACAGGCCAAAAAATGCAGATTTCTTTCATTTCATTAATTTGACCAGCGCCTGATTTTACCATGATGCCTCACAATTGTCTCGTAAACAAATCTGTACCAGGTGACTTCATGGCATGCAAATGGAACCTCCTGACTATGACAAAGTCACATTGTTTACACACAACACTGCTGGTTGAAGATTTAACTGATAAGTTTTATTCCCAAGAGGAGCAACAGAAAAGACATTATGACCAGAGTGCTAACTTAGTGCATGAACCGGCAAAACCCTTTATCTCCGACAACATTCGCTGTTCTTCATACACAACTCTTCAGCAGCAGACATAGTATCCTGATTGACTGTTTCAACTTCCACTTCCTTTCAACTCTAAAATTAAAATCGAAAGAATTATGAACCTTTAACTCTAAACAGAAAGGGAGGAGAGCCTTGTCAACTGTGTTAACAACGTAGGACTAGGCAAGGTAACAAACTCAGCCCCCTACACCAAAGTCCAAGGCTAAACTGAGCTAACAGCAGCCCTATAAATATACTATTGCGAACAGGTAACTATATATCTACAAGGATTTTCTATATCAAAATGAGAAATATCTCAAACAGGAGTGAATATTTTAAAATTTTCTGTTTGGCTTCTTTCTAAACATCATGGCAGCAGAGAAAGAAATCATAAAAATGCATGGGTAACAAAAGAACTCATATTTACACACCAACCTGTACATTGAAGTACACAAATAGAAATGCTCGATGACTGTATATTCCAGAAATTGCAAATTGTAACGAGGAAGCCTATCTCAGTAGTAGAGAAAGAGGTGATGATACATGTAACATAACGTTCCCTTGTGACATTCACAGATATTTACACATTGCCACAACTACTGCAGGAGCTGATGCACTTCATTAACTTCAAAAAAAAAAAAAAAAAGGAAAAGAAAAAATACACGTAAAAACATGCTAGGCCTCGGAGATACTCACTTCCGTGAGAATGAGACCGCCTTCTTCGCCCTGGATGCCGGATAAACACATACAAGATCACAAACAAGTGCAGATAATGGACAGACAGAGGGGATGAAGAGGGGGGGGGTGCCAACTACATCTGTGAATATTTCCAGAAGTAACTGAAGGCTGCTGCAGCCTAAAATATATTCATGAGACAGAGGGCATTCTAGGTGTTTGTTTATACATATTGAGTGAAAGAGAGGTATACCAATGGCACGGAATGTGTGTGTGTGTGTGTGTGTGTGTGTGTGTGTGTGTTTGTGCGAGTGAGAGTGTGAGTGTGTCTGTGGGCTTGTCTGTATGTCTGCATGTGCGAGTGTTTACCTCAGAGTGTTCATATGTGCAGCAAACATGTGGGAATGTCACCAAGATATGATTTTCACATTCCTGTAAGTATTCTCAAACAAACGTTTTCAACTGCGAGGACTGCTGGCTTTTCAGGTCTATTCTAAATGTCATGTGTTGACCACCATAAAACCTGATCTTATTCTAATATCACTCAAGAAAGTAGACAGAAATAACATGTAAAACATTAAAAGTGAGCGCTAAAACTAAAAGGGACACCTATTTCTCAAACCAGGGAAAATTCCAAACAAAGTGGCACCGCAAAGAAAAGCATGTTCACACAACTCACAGCCTGGTGATCTAAAGTGGACTAAAAATCTCAAACCTTTTAAGTAGTAAAAACGGTTCACAAACAGATGTAAAGACCTCCCTCCCCCCACCCAAAAACAAACAACAGCTCAATCAATGTATCAAACACACAGAGTGTGCTTCACTGTGACCCACAGGAGAAGCAGTGGTAGTGATAAATCTACTAATTAAATATGTAAACATATCAATATTTTTTTAATTGGGCTGAAGAGTTTCAGGAGCAATTTCCCCTCTCAAAACTAACAGCATGATTCCCTGCTGACACACATTTACAGCATTCACTAAGAATTGCACATGATAAACTAAAATGTTTTGTTTTTGGGAAAACCCTCTAAATTTTTAGAGATTTTCGATTACAAAAATTCAATCTCACCATGAGAAAAGAATAGCAAAGACAGAACAAAAGTAGAGCCGTCACCACATGACTTGAAAGGGGAACAAAAAGTAAATTATAATTTCTCATGAAACAGTAAACCCAAATTTTAGAGAACACAATGATTCTAAAAGAAGGTCAAAAGTAGCACTTTCTTCCTTTAATCTAGCCAGTCAGTAGCTTATGCACACTATTCACACGCAAAAACACAGAGAAAAAAAGCACTGGCTCAAAGTTTTTCGCAGCGCTCATTTCATCATGAAACCAGTGATCACTCTCACGTAAGTTTGATTAGTAATCATGAGGTAGCCATCGCAACAGCAAGAGAACAATAAACAGATAAGAGAACATAAAAAAAACACAAACTGACAGCCAATGTGAGAACTAGTACAAGACATTGTCTCAAGTTCTAAGTGTGAGTATTGTCAGTCCTAGGTTCAAACAAAGCCAGATGAGGTGGGCAAGAAACCATGACCATGATGGAGACAATGATGCGGACATCCACACAGCACTTACCATCCTTGTCTATAGGCTCCGGGTTGATGGTCTGCGTTTCCTTGCTATACGACACATTCTCCCGAGGGGGGATGCTTGTCTCGTTCACTTTCACAACACTCAGTTGCACTTTTTGTCTTCGAGGACTGTTCCGAATGACAAAAATAAACAAACGTTTCGGTGAGAAAGGACAATTTCACTTTTAACGGGTGCACGAATAGCTCTGGTATCATGCTGACCTCATGTAAGCTTGACTTTCATTAACCCTTAAAACTCTGAGTTAATTTCTATCACATCTCCCTAGAATCCTTAATTAAAATAGGGATTACTAGAAAAAATTAGGTTATTTCACTGTTTTATTTACTGTGTCTTTAATTGTTGTCAGATTTTAATGAAATTTGATTATGTTATGTTATGTTATGAAAGCACAGTCAGGAAAAAAGGGGGAAAAGTTAAAACACTGCTTTTAGGACCAACTCAATGAGTAAAGTCTTGTGTGTGACCCCTGACTACAGTCAAAGTATCATTAGACCCAGCCGTAGATCTAGCCTCTGGCAGCTCCAGTGGTGATCCCCTGCCACTTCCACGATCATCTAAATCATCCTCGATGTTATGCTAAACATTGCAATCGTTTTCAACAGTCATATCTATTGATATATATAGGACTGGGAATCATCATCGGGGTCTGGTTCAGGATCATAAATGTCAAAATATTGTGGCCTGATAGCGAAAAGTCACTCACTAAAAAAAAAAAACTTGCAAAAACTCAGACCTTTTGGCGTAGAACTGCTCTTATGACCTTATCGATACTTTCTGCTTGTGACAGTCATCTGGAGTTACTTCCCATGATTCTAGTATTGGGTATTAACGATAAAGTTGACCAGCGGTATAGGAAGATACGGTGTCAGAGGTTACTAGTGGTATTGGGCTATTGGGATTTAAGGGTTAAAATCATTTCAGTAAAAATTTTAGCAGGCAGCGTAACATTCAATATAGAAAGAGATGATACATTTTGATTGAAGGTTAATTCAACAAGAAACCCAAACTGAATCATTTTCATACATCACTCGCCTCCTCCAAAATATCTATCAATCAACGCATTTTTACTAACAATTCTAGATCAAAACTTCTCCACAGTACGATATGTCTAGACAACAAAAAAACCTCACCTGGCATGAGTAACTGTCTGCACAACTGCCTCTCCAGCACCCTGGGTGGCAGATACAGCCTGACCTGCAGGGGCTGCCTGTGGTGGAGTATCTGAGGGACAGTCACCATCAGTAAGTAAGTTACAATAGCAGGCACTGTTTTTGTTGGGTTTTTTAGTAAGGTTTTATGGCCCTCACAACTGCATAAAAGGTCATATATGAGCGCCAAGGGGTGGATGTCAACAGAGAAATCCAAAATGGGGAATCGGGCTTACTCTCCTCACCTCTCTAGCCTAAACAGCACAAAGTCTGCTTCCACTATCAAGGCATCCCGGAAATAGCAGTTCACAAGAGTGTGACAAACATACAAAAGAAGTAGAGGAAAAATGACAATAGCAAGGATGAGGACAGAAAAAGGAGCAGTTCCCCCTATGTTGTTCTGGCACAGTATGAGAATGACATTGATAAATCAGCCCATTTACAATTCTATCATGCATATAAGAGCATTCTTTGGGAATGGCCTAAAGACACCTCAGTCAGTAGCACTTCCCTGGTGGGGGGAAGGCATTGTTTCATCACAATAGATGACAAAATTTTATACCTATCAACACTTATCTGTCTGTCCCGCTCAATATCAGTCGTAAGACGCACTGTGCTATTATCAGCTACGTGGCTGGAAAGGTAAAAAAGAGACTTTCTATGAAATATTTTTTTGGGGAATATATTGAAAGTTTGATCTCTTCTGCTTCATTTAAGAGAAAAATAAACAACTATAATAGACTATAAATATTTTATTTTGATTTATTTAGGAGGCTTCTGTGGTTTGCTGTGAGCTTGGGTGACAAGACAAAGGAATTTGGACCTTGCTAGTGTGTAGCTGAGAGATTATTTTTAGAACCATTACCTCATGGCCAAGTTTGCTTCAACCAAAGATTCTCTACTTTTGTGGAAAATCTTTGCTCCAACGTTCTTCATTAGCAACTATTTTTAGATTTTGACCCCTTTTCCAGCATGTATAGTCTGAAATGTAAACAACTCTGATTGGTACAACGGAGTCAAAACGGTAACTTCTAGCTCACTTCAAGCTTGTTTACGTAAACAGCTGACTGTTTGGGCATGCCCTGTTAGCTGCTATCGTCTGTTGATCTTTCAGTTATACATTTGGATTGACTTAAAAAATTCGTCTATTGTGGTTTTAGAGCTTTAAAAAGATTAACCTTCCTCTAGATCTCTCAGTGCAGAGTCCTTACCAAGAGGCTACCGAGGCGGTCTATGTGAATGTGTGTGTATGTGTGTTGGTGTGTTTGTATGTGTGTGTATGTTGGTGTGTGTGTGTGTGTGTGTGTGTGTGTGTGTGTGTGTGTGTGTGTGTGTGTGTGTGCGTGTGCGCGCGTTTGTGTGCTCTCGTGTGTTTATGGTACTATTGCAAATGAATAATAATCAGGTAGCGTAAACATGGCATGTAAGACGACTCGTGGCTTTCCGAGAGCGTAGTTTCTGTGAAATGGGGGGTAATTCAGATCTCTGTTTCTTTTCTCTTTTGCTATAAAATACCAAATGCTGAACACTTTGAAAAAGTTCAGATTTTCCTCTTTATAATAGTGTAAAAGTTGTTTGTATGTCAAGGTATTTGGAGCTGGAGAATCGCCGTGGAAAGGGAAGCCAATCACGGTCGGAATGCGAGGTCCCCCGGTTCAAAATTGACACCCATACATTCGAATGGTTTGCAGAAAGATTGATGATTAAATACCGTCTTTTCATTTGCAGAGAACTATACAGCTTTGAGCGTGGTTTCCCACGGTAATTATTTTTAGCCTTTGGCTTTCCGATAGAAAAACCTTGAAAAAAAGGGTCAAAGTTTATAAGCCATAACCAGACAGCCACCGGAACAATCAGTATGGATACCTCGCGGGCTTTGGTGCTGGGGGGAACTGAGCACTTATGGACCTGTCTGGTGTGCAATGACGTTGTTGCCCAGGACAGGTAATACAGTTTTCAAAGATCATTTTTAACACGAAATGTGTAAAATACCGGCTAAAAAAAGGTACCAATAGAAAGAACAGTTCTTTCTCTATTAGAATAAAGTCATCGGCTTGGAATTATTTTGAATAAATCCTTCTGCGAAACTATTGGGAGCACTCAGTATACTACAGTATTGAGCCTCGCTCGCCGCGCAGGGCGGTGCGACGCTGGCCGAGACAACGCTCTGTGTAATTATGAAATAACGACAGATCATCGCGTTTGAGGTAATAAAATACTGATTTGTAATGACCTCAGTCTCGAAAAATATTAGGCTTAATTTCTTTGTTATAGTGATTGTACTCTTTTAATGTAGAGATGTTTGATGTACTTGGTACTCTTTGACTATCTGTCAAACATGGGGTTGCAGCCAGTTAACAATTTCAGCAATATTTTATTATTATGTTAAATTGAAACAACTGTCATTCTTTTAAACATTGACTGAGAGATAAAAATATGGTACCAAAATTCTCAGGAGACATAGGCCTTTCATATGAAACAGATGAATTTGAGAAACAGCCACTTTGAAAATTTAGTGTCTGGTACCTAGTGTAACGCTAATATTTTGTTGCAATTGACGTGAAGTCCATTTTCGCAAAAATTTTATTTGGTCCATATGTTTTTTTTCTCTGTGAATGAATGAATTTTACTTTTGTACATTACCTTGTAGTGGCATAGCCAATACAACTGCAAAATTTCAAGTCTCTATCTCAATTCTAAGACCCCCATTGCTGAGGAAACATGTTGCTCTACTTCAAAGGCCATTTTCTCCTTTTCGTGAGTACTCACCTCGCACAATTAAAAGTTCTGTACTTTCGTCACATAATGTCATATTTACTTCATTCTTGTTTTAAATTGTAGGGAAAGGGTGATAGCTTTTGAAAATAATTTTAACTCAGTTTTGAAATTTCCTTCATATGGCTGATATTGACCGGCAGGGACACTTATGTCTCGTGATGATCATGATGTCTCGGTGGCAAATAAGGCCAACGCACTTCAGAAAATGCTAGTTGAAGACAGAATAAAGAAAGGATTTATGACCTGCAATCTGCTGTGCCCATTTGTGCCTGTTCAGGTGCTGCATATTTGCAACTGTTCAACAGCAGTGAGTCAAACTAAGAGACACGCAAGTTTATTGTAACTTCGGAAACATTTATAAATAATATAGTGAGATGAAAAACCACTGGACACCTACTTTGTGAAATATAATAAATTTATAAACGAAGATAAATCTACACTTTGGTTCCAACTCCTACAATTTCATTCCAGGCACGTAAATACAATATTGAAAAAACAAAATGAGAAATGCCACTATGATGGATGATGATAATGATAATTGTTAACATTGATACTATTCATTCTGAACACTGGTTTACTTGCACCCTGATTCTTTATGAACCCTATCATGCGACATCACTACAAAGGTGCATCTGCTAAGACCCTAAAATTTAATTGATTGGTGAGAAGTCAGAGGTGGCCTAGCAAATGTTCCCATGAAAAGGATGCTTTTCTTTGCTTCCGAGGATATTGTAACAAAATTTGGCAAGCAAACATTACAGGTACAGAGGTTTAAGATGGTGCGGGACATGGTCTTGTAAAAAAAAACTAATCATATACTTTACTTTACTTTTCCGATCCAGCGGCCCTATATGAGTTCTAGCCCTTTGGCCTGTCGATATGGCAAAAAATTTACAAGTTTTTATTAGTTGTTCTGTCGTTGTCTCATCACATACAAAAGTTAAAATCATTATTTTTAGTCAGACTGACTCTCACACAGGGAAAAAGACTTATTGGTATCTTCATCTTGCTGAGACAGGCCTACACCCTGCACAACTCGAGTTGGTCATGACAAAATTGAAGTAGCCGGTCTCCTAAATTACCCTCTAAAGTGTAAAAGAGGGTCTTAAAACAAAAAATAAAACAAAACAAGTTGGCAAAATGATTTTCACATTACCTGTCACTGGAATACCCAGATCTCTAAATATGGCATCAGGATCAGAGGCTGAGGTATCCACACTCCCAGAGGTTGTGCTGTCTTTCGACGCCTGGACAGAGGACAGAACATATAAAAAGTAAATTATCAACCTGTCTACAATATCCATCATCTCTATACTTTTCATTAAACAGATGTGGGGAAGCATTGGTAGTCAAGTGTAAAGGTTAAGGTTACCAAACTCATAACAAAAGATTGCATGTTTGGGGCTTCAACGGTGTGTGCTTATGAAAGGCACTTTAAACACAAATTTTACAATTTCGGTTCCTTCTATCAGAAACGGATGTTTAATCCAAGGTTCCTCTTCCTAAATATCTTTTTACAGCCTTGCAAAAGGTGTAAAACATACATTGTCACAAGCTATTTCCGAAAATGGGTGTGTTATATTTATCAGTGTTCATTATCCTGAGGATTCAGTTCCCCATATTGCCCTCTAATTCAAAAACAACTATACCACTACTACTACTACAATGCAATGTCGACAAATATTATGTCAAAAAAGCTAAAATATATAATGCAATATATCACACATAAAATCTTTATTATTTCAATATTGACCACAGGGTTCCCAATCAGGAAAAAAAAAATTCCATTCCCCCCCCTAGGTTTTCCCCCTGTATTTTGTAACCATTCTTAAGGTATTTAGAGGACAACAGACAGATGCAGAAGAAAAGAAGAGAAATGAAAGATTTTTAAAAAATATGGGAGAAAAATCAAACACAGGGACAAGTTAATAATATAAAATACAAGAAGTATTGAAATGGAAGAGCACTTGTAAATTGCAGGAGGACCAATTCACTATCCTATATAATGTAAATTTATTTAGAGGTCGGTCAAAACTTCCTCACTTCTTATCCAACATTTCAGAATTTAACTCAAATAGTGAAATCAGATTTCTCAGCTTTTTTCGGATTTTTTTTTTTTCAGTCTTCCTGTATTTTTATTTTTTATGGTGTTTTCCTGACCAATTTTCTTTTTTTAAAAATTCACTTCATCATCATTAATCATAGTTTATCGACAGAATGCCCAGTAAGTATATAATATTTCATGGATCGACAAAAAGCGCTGCGCGATCCGCTGATCAACAGAATGCGCAGCAATCGATGGATTGTCACGCGTTTCCTCGATCAACCAAATGCGCTGCGCGGTTGATGGATCGCGCAAATCGACAGATCGCACCCAACAAAAACACAAAAAGTAAATTAATTTGGTGGTCTACAAAGATGCTACAGCTATTTTTTACTTTTTGAATCAAGCCGAACTACGCCGGTCGCCATTTTGTTTTGCCCAGAAGTTCTCACGCTACTCCTCTTTCTCACTCTCTCTCCACTGCCCACAGACAAAATTGTACGCTTTTAGGCTAACAGAAGTATAATGGAAAGTACAAGCTCATGGCACAGAATTTTCTAGATCTACAATTTTTCTGTATCACAGTGTTGAATTCTGTGATTCAGGGTGAATGCAAAATTGGTTGGCCTATCTAGGGCTATAACGGTAAACGCACATCGGGTGAGAATAGCCAAAAGGTTGATGACTCAACCAACTAAATCGTCATCAATGTCAATAATGGCCACCTCTATTCTCACCCCGGGTGAGTCTTTTGGCTATTATCACCCGGTGTGGTTCACCTTATAGCTTAAAAATCTAGACCAACCAATTTTTGCATTCACCCTGAGTTCGGCTCGATTCGAAAAGTTAAATAGCCGTAGCATCTTTGTAGATGACCAAATTAATTTACTTTTGTGTTTTAGCATCATTTTTTTACTTTGTTTTGGTCAATTTGATCGTCCACACCGATAGACAATATTCAGAAAAAGAGACAGAGAGAGAGAAGAGGGGAGGAGTAGATCTTGCGAGAACTTCCGGGCAAAACAAAATGGCGACCCGCGTAGTTCGGCTCGATTCGAAAAGTCAAATAGCCATAGTATAGCATCTTTGTAGATGATCAAATTAGCCTACTTTTGTGCGAACTTTTATCCATTTGACCATCCACACCGATAGAAAGTATTCCGAAATTAGGAAAAACAGGTCTTGTTTCACACCAGGTGAGAATAGCCAACGGTGGCAAGTCTCACCCGGGGTGAGAGGTTGATCGTATTTTTATTCTCACCTCGGGTGAGGCCACTTCCCTTGAGCTCAAATAATAGCTTACTCTGCTTACACTTACAGCCAGAACATGGCATGGACATCTTCCAGTCAAAAGAGGTAAACAGCATTATGAAATCACCCAACCCTGACCACTGATGAAGCTGAGCAGTCAATGCGACACAAGCACTAGAATCTAGATCTAGATCTAGAATATAGATTAGAATCTTGATCTCTAGATCTAGCAGACAACCTGGACTCACAGTACTGAGTACAGTCGCCAACTCAAGACTCAAGACTGTGCAACATAACAATACAATAACTACTGATGCTGGCAATTTTAGATATCAAGGTAAACAAGACTCTCATTCTCATATAAAACAATTCACAGTTCCAGACTAGATAGATCTACACTTAGCCTAGATCTAGTCTTCTTAGAAATTTACTTCTAACCTCTCAAAGTACCACCTCCGTCGTTCCTCCGCTCGTCACCCTCCTAAAAATCAAAATCAAATACAAACTTGCCTGGGATTTTGCCATTTCTTTCTCCTTCCTCTCTTTCCTCAGCTTCTCAATCTGAGCCTTTTTCTTGGCTATTTCTGCCCGTCTGTCTGCCATGGTTGCAGTTGTAACTCCAATCGGCTTCACAGACGTCGGCAACAATAATCAATGTTTATGAGATGCAAGCAGGAAACGACAGCTCAAACTTGCTCTGATCTCACTGACTCACAGGTTTATTCTTTCCGATACTATGATGATTTTATACACACTTCCGGTCTGCTTTACTATAAAAATAAAACCCTTGACATAGTAGATTAGAAATATTTATTTTTTATTGTTAATCTTTTGGAATTCAGAAAGTGGTATTTTATTTTGCTCGATTTGTCTTCAATCAGGGAGTTTACAGTCTCCTTGTCTTCAATGCGCTTTTTTGAGACAGCCAACTCCGCACAAAATGTTCTGTGCTCTAGAGTAGGGGAAATAATCAAGATATAATAGGATAGTAGAGAAGAATTGTCTACCTTATTACTTATTAGGCTTTGACGTGGCATCCACACATGGAAAACGTAAGAAACGAAGACCAAAAATGACATGGAGGCGAGCGGTACAAGCGGACAATTAAAAGGCGGGGACATTGTGGAAACAGCTAGAAAAGGAGGCTCAGGATAGGCTTCGTCGGGGAAATGTTGATGACCTATGCTCCACTGCATGGGAGTTAAAAAGGGCGAGAGAGAGAGAGAGAGAGAGAGAGAGAGAGAGAGAGAGAGAGAGAGAGAGACAGACAGACAGACAGAGAGAGAGAGAGAGAGAGAGAGAGAGAGAGAGACAGAGAGAGAGAGAGACAGACAGAGAGAGAGACAGAGAGAGTGAGAGAGAGAGAGAGAGAGACAGAGAGACAGAGAGAGAGACAAACAGAGAGAGAGAGAGAGAGAGAGAGATTAGGCTATATATTCAACACCGGTTTTACTTAGTTTTTGTAGTCGGGTGCTTTCTTGTTCTGGTTCGTCAAGGTTGTTGTTGTTGTTGTTGTTGTTGTTGTTGTTGTTTTATTTCCCAGATCTATCCTTTTCATTTTAGTATCACAGAGCTATCCTTTTCATTTTTTCCCCAGAACAATCCTTTTCATTTTAGTTTCCCATCCCTATGTTTTTCATTTTGGATTCAGAGAGCTATCCTATTTCTTTAGTTTCCCAGAACTATAGTATCCTTTTCATTTCGGTTTCCCAGAGCTATCCCTTTCATTTTGGTTTCCCAGAGCTATCCTTTTCATTTTGGGTTCCCAACCCTATCATTTTCATTTTGGTTTCCCAACCCTATCATTTTCATTTTGGTTTCAATGAGCTATCCTTTTTATTTTAGTTTCCCAGAGCTATCCTTTTCATTTCAGTTTCCCAGATCTATCCTTTTCATTTTAGTTTCTATTTACATATTTTGATTTCCCAGAGCTATCCTTTTCATTTTGGTTTCAGAGCGCTATCCTTTTCATTATAGCTATCCTTTTCATTTTGGTTTCCCAGAACAATCCTTTTCATTTTAGTATCACAGAGCTAACCTTTTCATTTTAGTTTCTAGGACTAGGAGTTATCCTTTTCATTTTGGTTTTATACAGCTATCATTTACATTTTGATTTCCCAGAGCTATACTCTTCATTTTGGTTTCAGCGAGCTATACTCTTCATTTTGGTTTCAGCGAGCTAACCTTTTCATTTTAGTTTCCCAGAGCTATCCTTTTCGTTTTGGTTTCCCAGTGCTGTCCTTTACATTTTGATTTCCCAGATCCATCCTTTTCATTTTGGTTTCCCAGAGCTATCCTTCTCATTAATTAGTTTCCCAACCCTATCCTTTTCATTTTGGTTTCAGAGAGCTATCCTTTTCATTTTAGCTTTCCAGAGTTATGTTTTACATTTTAATTTCCCAGAGCTATCCTTTTCATTTTGGTTTCAGAGAGCTATATCCATTTCATTTTCGTTTCCCATAGCTATCCTTTTATTTTATTTTTATTTTCCAACCCAATCCTTATCATTTTGGTTTCTCAGCGAGCTATCCTTTTCATTTTAGTTTCCCAGAGCTATCCTTTTCATTTTAGTTTCACAGAGCTATTCTTTTCATTTTAGTTTCACAGAGCTATTCTTTTCATTTTAGTTTCACAGAGCTATCCTTTTCAGTTTGGTTTCCCAGAACTATCCCTTTCATTTAAGTTTCCCAACCCTATCATTTTCATTTTGGTTTCCCAGAGTTATCCTTTACATTTTGTTTTGGCAGAGCTATCCTTTTTATTTTGATTTCAGAGAGCTATCCTTTTCGTTTTCGTTTCCCTTAGCTATCCTTTTCATATTTTTTTTTTCGCAGAGCAATTCTTTTCATTTTAGCATCACAGACCTATCGTTGTCATTTTGGTTTCCCATTGTTATCTTTTTCATTTTGTTTTCCCAGAGCATACATTTTTACTTTGGTTTCATAGAGCTATCCTTTACATTTTGATTTCCCAGAGCTATCCTTTTCATTTTAGTTTCCCAGATCTATCCTTTTCATTTTAGTTTCCCAACCCTATCTTTTTCATTTAGGTTTCAGAGAGCTTTCCTTTTCATTTTAGTTTCACAGAGTTATCTTTTTTCATTTAGGTTTCCCAGAGCTATCCTTTTCATTTTAGTTTCCCAACCCTATCCTTTTCATTTTAGTTTACCAGAACTATCTATTTCATTTTAGTTTCCCTACTCCTCCCCTACCTCATCTACCTCATTATCCCACGCGCACGCCTTACACATCGTTACGATATGAGCACATACAAGTACATGATAAAATAATATACATAATGCAATTCCTAAAATGAGCACATACAAATACATAATAAAATAATATACGCAATGCAATTTGCAAAATACATACATCAATACATAGTCATTTCCATTAACAATATCATTGTACTGAACTGAATCTGCTGACATGAAAATGATACACCAAGGAAACCAAACTTCTCCTGTAGGTAGGGCAATGCCCACTTTTGGTGCAGGTCAAGATTTCTGGAAACCCCCGAAATCTGGGTTAGCCCTCTTTTCCTTATAAAGCGACCATATAATAATATTATACATGCCGAAAGACTGTAGGTTCTAATATCGAGTGATATACAGAGAAAAAAAGGCGGAGGAGACTCAAAAACGACAGATGTTTGATGTGAAAGAAAAAGAGAAACATTATACCAGAACACCCGCCATCCACCCACAAGAGTTAGAAAAGGGGAGTTGCCTATTCACCAGTTTGTGCCAATAAATCAACAATTTTTCTTCTCTTACCTTATTGCACAAACGCAAGTCTACCGTGGACAAGCTATTCAGGTGTACTAAGGCCAGAAAGTTTGTAAAGAAGTAACCC